ATAGAATAGCTTATAAACATTCTATAGGTATGTCCCCATTTTGTCTCATTTTTGGAAAGCCATGTCATCTTCTTGTGAAAATAGAGCATAAAGTATTATGGGCTATAAAAAATTTATATATGGATGAAAAATCAACTGATGGGCATAGAAATTTTCAACTACATGAACTAAAGGAGTTGAGGAATGAAGCTTATGAAAATCATAGAATATAAAAAGAAAAACTAAAATCTTTCATGATAAATACATTAGCAAAAAAAAAGTTGACATTGTACAGAAAGTGTGGTTATATGATTTTAGGCTGAAATTGTTCTTAGGAAAATTAAAATCAAAATAGTTAGGGCTTTATGTGGTGGAAGAGACATGATCATGAGGCTGTAATGATTAAAGATTCTAAAAGTGATCATAACTTTAAGGTAAATAGACATCGGCTTAAACATTACATAGAATATGAATACCTTGCAGAAAAATAAATTTTATTATTAAAATAAATTAAAGAGTAAGATTAATATGTCCAACTAGAGACATTAAATTCAACATCATAAGAGGCAACCTATGGTTTTTATTTCATTCTATTTTTTTTAAGCTCTATTTTTCTTAGAATTTCATAGTACTTGTTTCTATATTTATTTATTTATTAAAAAAGTGCAGGAGGAGGAGTGTAAGATGAAGTGGAAAATTAAAAATAAGGTCGAGGTGGTCTTTCTAAGCTTTATCATTTATGATGACATTTTTAATGCTTAACTTTGCATATATGCATGATTCACTTGAAAACTATATTTTATACATATTCTATTCTGATTTTTCTGTGTCACTAAGGAAAATGTCATTTTTAAGTTGGGGGGTAAAGTATTCATTCTTAATTTATGATGTAGGATGATTAAGAACATGTATTTATATTTTTTTTTCATGCTCACTTAAAAAAACAACTTAAAAAAAAATATCAAAAAAATTATAGTATCTATTTTCTAGTTTTTTTGTCATGAACAATAGATTGTCAAAAATAGTAGAGAAAAAATAGCCTGAAATTTAAAATTCTAGAGACCCTTTCCTCAAATTTAAAAATAGCCTGAAATTAAAAATAGCCTAGACATATATTGCTGAAATTCGAAATTACAATTATAATAAATTATGAAAAATAGTTTTTAGTTAGTTAATATAAAATTTTGGATAATTATATGATTTTATGTGAATTTATATAATCTTACTTTGGAGATAAATGAAGAGAAATAAAATAAATTAAAAAGATAGAAAAAGGAGGACACATTGGCTAGCTGAGGCCATACAAGTGGGTCAGAAACATAATTAGGTAAAGCCACAAGTAGTAGACTTGAGCAACTAAGGACTAGTGGGGGACACACATGTGTCACTCCCCTTCCATGTGACCAATGGCTAATTAGGTAGGAGACAAAGAGTGATCATACACATGTGAGGGAAAGACTTATTGATGATAAAATCTTATATTACTATATATCCATCTCTAAACTCATAAAATAACCGATGTGAGACTAAATCAGTATCATAACTTTTTGAAGGTTTTCTCATAACTAAGATATCTCTTATTTATAAGAATGAGATACTATTATGACATCACTTTATAAAGGTATCCACATATTTATTTCACTCTTACTCATATAGACAAGTGACCGACGAGGGTTTGAATCTCACTAAAGTCAAAACTCATATTTTTATCTGATTAATCGTGATTTTTCTGTAAGTTTCTAGTGAATGATTAGATTGCCACAATCAATGTGATATGTAAAATATTATTATTAAAATTATTAAAGAATTATAGATAAAAAGATTGTGAATCAATCGAGTAAATCATTTCTAATTAATCAATGAATAAATCGTTGTTGAGAAGAGCACGATCCATCAAGAGATGAGTCACCACTTCTTGAAAGCATATCAAATATGACGAAAAGCCTCAATCTTGCTATGTGAATATGAGGATAAAGTTCCCTAAGATATGCCTCACCTCTATCGAGCTTATCTCTGTCGGGTGACAACCACCAAAGATCCATTGTATATCACATAAGGACCCCCTTAAGTGGGTAAGTTGTCATTGGATCTTAAAAGACTCCAAAGTTATGTGTGTTTGTGCTGCTAACTCAACAACCTTTCAAAGAAATACAATTGGGCCAAAGTAATACCAAGATGGGTGACCTTGTGAGAAGGTGTCAAGCTCAAGAAGACCTTAAGGAGAAAAAAAAGTAAAAAAAAAAGTGATGATGTGTCTCAAAGAGAAAATCAGAACTTTATCCTACTCATTCATCTATAGTGATTTACAAGTCACCAACTGAGTTAAAGGTTGTTTCTCTATCATGTCCTAAGATAACCTAGGTGGCAAGTGGAGACAGAATAAGGTTAAGGCATAAGGTGTTAAGAGCTAAAATCTACTTTTGAATGATGTTGTTTTATGTGAAGAAGTGTATATTGACTTAGGCACGCAGGACTAAGAGTCAAGACTTGCTCATGAGGGGTGAGAGTTGAGCCCATAAAGTCAGCTATATTTCCAAAAAAAGAGTGAAATTTGATCGAAGGATCCTTCGGTACTAGCCATAGCCTAAGTGTAAACTAATATAAAAATATCTATGTCCATCATAGTTAAGAGTGAAAGAGAGAGGCTAGAGTGACCTCGTGACGAAAATAAGAGACTTAGGTAAATTTACATATATATTTCATAGACTATGTTAGAACATGTGCCGACACATACACACAAGTAGAACACTAAAATATAACAGAAAAAATAAGATACCAATTCACCTCCTTCTCTTGGTATTTTACTTAGTCACATCAAACCTAATATGTCTCTTTTCTTAATCTCATCATATTCATCCAAAGAAATATTTAAAGATAAAAAAATTAAGATACCATTAATATCTTAATGATCTATTCATCCCCTCTTTTGAAATTTATGTCTAATTGGGGACCCAACACTATGTCTTTACAACCCCTTTTCACCAAATTACAATTCAATTTTTCTCAACTCTCCTCTTATTTCTTGACATTTTAAAAATACACAAGTTATGTTATATCATGTAAATCATGAACTCATTAAAAAATAATTATTCTATAATTATGATGTGAATCATCATTCATCTAGAAGCATAATTATGTACATTACTTTAGAGATTCAAAAATGTTCACACCTTCACTTAACTATGAACTCTTTCCATGCATTTTATTCATAATTGAAGTTTCAATAATTTTTTCATAAATTGATTTTGGTTTTTCATGATCCATTTGTGCTATTTTGAGTTATTTACCCTGATCATTATGTGCATATGTGATATTACAATAATTTGAACCCAACTAAATTGTTCTATTGTTATTTATTTCATTATGATAAGAGCAGACTTTCTAATGATGTACATGCAATGTTAGAGTTGTTATAATCTTGGTTTTGTTGACAAAAAGATTTTAAAGCTTGATTGATATAAATCAAATGATCCCTTAAAAGCTTGAATAATCATGGATTCAATACTTTAATCATTAAACCTTCAAAATCTAATTTGGTTTACATATTAGTAGTTTTAATCTGTAAAGTTATCATGTCTAGTTTGAAATGTACATTTCACACCAATGCAAATATTGATTTTGATATAAAATTCAGAATCCAATAGTCATGGCTTAAATGCTTTAGTCGGAAGCAATTTAATAAATTCAACTAGAATGCTTTGTGAACAACACACCAATTAAAATGTTGATTCTAAAATAGAATTTATAAAATATTTATCAATCTCTAATTAAATATCATAATAAGCAATAGTAGTTTTTTGAATTTGATTGAAATGTTTCATTGATGAACTTTAGAAGTCTAATTTATTGTCAAAATGGTATTTCTTTTAAATAGTCAACAAAAACATGAATTATGATCAAACCACTACAAGCTAAGTATTGAATTTATCAAAAAAAAATTAATTAGATAGTTTTTTTTACTAAATTGATCATCACCGTGCTAGTAAATCAATATTTGAAAGTTGAATTTAGAAATGGTGTCATACTTCAAAGAGTAAGACAAAGTTAGACACTTGATCATTCAAATAACTTTTAGACCTGAATTTCCATCATGGGTAGCTATAACTTGAGTACTTGAAATCAAATATTAGAAATTATTTATTAATATTTTCAATTTCATAAAAAACCTAAATCTTCTAATCTCGAGTCAGATTATATATTCCAATCATGTACTCAATGATCTAAATAGACTTAGCAAAGTATGTTCTAATTTTGGTGCACACTATTTGGAAAGAGGCCATTGAAATTAGATGGCTTAGTTTTGAAGATTACAACCAACACAAGTAGGAATAATTGTTTAATGATAATCAAGATTAAGCCTATCCACCTCCTACCCTTTAAACTACATTAGGCATCCCAACGTCCTTCAAGGGTTGCATTCAAGGTGGTCATTGTTCACAAATTATTTTCTTGATTTGCTCAAATTGATTTGTTACTACATTTTTTTTGTATGTCATTCATGATAACAATATAAAATAGTAATCTACATTATTGAGTTTCTTCACAACTATTTACTCCTCGTTAATAACTTAACATCTGATAAAAAAGGTAGTTCTTATAAAAAGTAGGGTGCCCCATCTGATAAAAAGTATTTTTAATTTGTAACATAAACCTCCAGCCGGGATTTGCCCCAACTACGCCGCTTCAGGACAACGTTAGCTGCCAGTCGTTTGGAATACTAGCCCCTGGACGTCGGCTTCGCCATGGCCGGGCCGCTTCGAGGGATCATGGCGTTAAACGTCTCCATCAACATAGAAGTAGTTAGACCGCTGAGGACCACCCCCACAAGACCGGCGGGGAGGCTCTACGGATCACCCTCCCGTATTAAACCACCATTCCGCCTTTCTCAATCTCATGGTTGGGCTTCGTAATTCGCCTATTCTAAACGACAAATCATCTTCCTTCCGAACCCAACTGGAAGGAGAACTCATCTCTCTCGCTCTCCCTCTCTCTCTTTCTGTTTCTTGGATCCATGTACGTATATGGCAGGCTCGGAAGAAGAAGCGGGATCAGCCCGAAGCCCGTTCAGAGGAGCTAGAGCCAAGAAGATCAGTGGGTCGGCGCCGCTGGGGTTGACCGACGGGTCTCTGTCCTCGGCCTCCAACCTGGCGAAGCTTCTCCCCATCGACACCGTCCTCACCTTCCAGTCCCTCCTGCCCTTCTTCTCCAACTGCGTCGTCTGAAACACGTCCAGCTAGTACGTCATCGCCTTCTGATCCCTCTCCGGGTTCTTCCTTCTATTTCACCGACAGCGTCGCCCTCAAGGGGAGGGTCTACTAACATGGCATTGCCGCCCCAAGCGTCGGAGTCCAGTGTTCAAGAAAGGAGCTTCAGGTACGGCTGGTGCACTACCTCCACCTCTTCCTGTCTGAGCTGGTGTTCTCGACGGTGGTCTTCGGCGACCGGATTGTCCAGTGCTGCTTCTCCGGCGCCGGTACTAACGCCATGGAGCTGTTCACCACTGGAGCATGGCGTTCACCACCTTCCCCACTACTCGCAGGGGGATCGGATCGGCAGTGATAGCCAATATAGAGGAAGAATTAATCTAAGATGAAGAATTATCTGATCCAGGATGGGTTGCATCTTTCTGATTCAATCTGAATCCGCGCTGAGTAAAAAAATATCCCGGCCGATTTTGGCCTAAAAATATCCAGTCCATCTGTTTTTGGACAAATCTTCTTACATTTATTCGCGTAATGTCTACATGCAGACTTTGTTGTTCCCAGTTTGCTCATATGATCAACTAGATTAAGGTCTGTTCCAACCGATTTTTATGGATATATTTACATATGTCCATATGAGCATGCATGCATGCATATAAGTATAAATAAATATATTAAATGACTGATCCAAGAGGAATAATAAGATTCTGATTACACAACAGATTTTGGGCACACAAAAAATACGCCTGCAATAAAACTGATTCCATGAATATATATAATTACATAATTATAGAAATATTACTTCTGAAGGGGTCTTAAATTGATTTTTTTTAGAGAATATAATCCAAAACTTGCTAGTCCAACGTATTTCAGGCATAGCATATACATATATATATATATGTGGATATCCTGGTGTGGGGGTAGAATTTGGATTGAGATCGGTCGACTCCGCATGCCCTTGTGTCAACGAACCGGGCCCAAACCTCGGCAATTCGTCTAAAGCCCACCTCGATCTGGTCTGGCCCGCCAAGAGGGAGAGAGGTCCCCGCGAGGAATCACCGCGGCCCAATGGGCGGTAATAACAAGCATCCTGGACCACATGGGATTGGGTGGTCCCGGCCCAACGGGCCCGCTTAATGGCCTCTGTCTATTATTCAGTCGTTTTTCTCACCTCTCGCTTTCTTTCGCTGTCTCAGAGGTTTTCCCGCCGCCGAATTACAGTCGCCGACGGTGGGAGGGCGCAGTGCTGTCTTGTAGAGAGGCCATCGCTGTCTCAGAGCTTCCCCTTATCGATCCCCTCGCAGAGTCCGGCGACGAGCAGAGGCTGCTTGAGATACCCCCGTGGTTAGTGAGCAGGAACACCAAGGGATCCGCTGGTCATGATAAACAAGAAAATTCCCCCAAACCCTTGCTGAAGGAAAGAGAGATCGTCAGTCGACGAATCAGATCCTGTCGATCTACTTTACTGAAGATTCGTGACGGTGAAGAATAGAAGGAAAATTATCACTGCGTCATCTTCCCCGGCAGATTTGGTCTTCTTTATTACTCTCAGCGTTTGTCACTTCGCCAGGTGTTTCGGAAAAGTCCGCCGTCGATCCGAGCGCGAATGACGGCCAGAAGTCCCCCATTCCCATGTGCTCTGCAAAGTACGATCTACCCATAGATCGCGAATGATCGCTGCACAGGGAACCTGGGGATTATTGAAGATGATCGTTATAGTTGAATTTCTGAATTTCTCCTTTTCAGGTCTGCTGGTAGAGTCACCGAGCGAGGTAGATTCCCTAGCATGGATCTACGTATTCACCTTCAGTCACGGTTTTTTTTATTTGTCATCTCATTCATCATTATCATCGTCGTTTAAATCCGACAGATATTCCGATACCTTCTCCTCAAATCCTACGCCATTTTCGTCGTTTTGGCATTCAAATCTGCGTCCAGCACGTTCTTCCCCGATTGCTTCCCCACGCCTGTGGATCCGCCCCGCATAGTCCCCGCCGTGATCAGAGACCATTCGAGATCCAAACCAGGAGAATTCCATGACAGGTAGAAAAACTTCACAGATCAATGATGCAGAGATCATTCGACAAGAGAGAGGGATGTATTCCTGACCCATTCCCTTCATTTTTTTAGAAGAAAAAAGAATCACAAATGAGGACGGAAAGTAGGCGGGGTTTGTCTGTTTTCACGGCTCTGTACCTCGTTTTAACGGCAGTATATTATGTATACACAGGGAGGATGGAGGAAGGAGATCTCTACGGTCATCGATCAACAGCCCAAATCCCTCTGGATGGAGACTTGCCGTCCATCTTGACGACCTTCTGCCGGGATCCTCTGTGCCGGCGACCTTGATCTTCAAAGGAGATGCTCTTCCTGATGTCGACCTTGACGATGTGGTGGTCCGAGGTGCCTTTGGAGGAGAAGACGGAGTACGATCCTGGCAGGAATTCGAACGGCGAACTGGGGGAGCTCAGGATGTAGTCCACGCGGGTGCCATACTTGCAGGTTCCCTGTACGTCTGCGAGCAGGGGAAGAAAGAGGAATCAGCCCTCCGCCGGGAAGAGACGACAGGCCGGAATGGGCGGGAGGAGGCGGCGGGCTTACCTTGGCCCTTGGCCAGGACCACGATGGCCTCGCACTCTCCGGCGAAGTCCTTGGCATCCACGTAGCTCTTCTCCTTGAGGAACTTAATCACCTCCACCTTCGGCGCCGGCTTCCCGATCTCCTCGTAGTACTACAAGCAGGAAGGAGGGAGGAATTAGGCACTGCTCGTCTTCTACAGCAAGGTGAGTTGCTCGGCTTGCCTTGACGATGTCGTTCCACCTCTCCGCTGAGTAGTCCATCTGGTCGAGGGCGTTCAGGCCGCCAGCGAGGATGTGGGGGCCCTCGCTGGACCGCAGGATGGAGTTTATCTGCTTCATCCTCCAACTCTCGTTGAGGTGGTCGAGGTGGGTGCAGAGGACAGTGACCTCTCCCACCCGGGGGACGTCGACGGTGGCCTTGAGCACGTTCCTGCGATCAACCCAAGACGAGAAAGGCGGCTGTGAGCACAACGCTGCCGACCATTAATGGCTGGCCGGCGTCGAGCACAGGGCGATTGCAAGGAGACCTGAAATCCGTGTCGTCGGAGATCTTCTGAACCTTCCACCTCTTGATCGGCCACCGGGAGAGGACGGCGTTGCCGTACTGGGGAGCCCAGCTCTCGGCGAAGACGTACCTCATGCCGAGCCCCTCCGCCAAGTCCGACAGTGGGCTCATCCCATTTTCCTCCTCTGCCTTCACGTTCTGCAGGGCCAGGATGTCGGCGTCGACCTCCCTCAGCACCTCCAGGATGCTCCGCTCACTGCGGGGGAATGCCTGATCCCCATCGCCGGCGCCGCCGCCGGCGGCGGCCGGGGAGCCCGGGGCTGAGCTCATCGGAGCCTTCCCGCTGTGGGTCCTCAACAACACGCCGCCGCCGCCGCCGCCGCCGCCGCCGCCGCCGCTGCCGCTGGAATTCAGCTTCTTCTCGCGGACCAGCGAGATCTCATTGTGTGGGAGGTTGATCGAGACCCTGTGCTTGGATTTGCCGAAGCTCTGCTGCTTGAGTATGCTCTTCGGGCACCTGTCGTGAGAGAGATTGCCCCTCGCCTCGCCGGCGTCCGACGACGCAGAGGATTTCCAGCTCCGGGGCACCGCCGGTGCTATGGAAAACATGGCGGCGTTGAACGTCGCGATCCGCGCCGTGGGGGCAGCGGCGTCCGGCCTACCGCCGGGCGACGCCGCTGAGGTCCGCCCAAGCGTGCGCACCACCGCGCTGCCGCCGCCGGCGGGAGACCTCCCTCTGTTCCCCCGCAAGCGGGAGCAGAGCCGCCGGAGCTTGAGGCTGCCCATCCTGATCGCGGCGTGGAGGCCAGCGGACGAGACGGGCTCTTCTTCTGCCGCTGGCTCTGGGGGGCAAAAGAAGAAGAAAGCTGCTACCTTTGCGGGGAAAAGATGGCCGCCTCCACCGCCGCTCTTCGTCCTCTTGCTGCTGGTTCTCATGAGCTGGGGCGCTGGGCGGACGATCCTTTGCTTTTGTTTATAGTCAGTCTACATGAGCACGGTTAGAGAGGGTGGGGAGTGAGATTGTGGTGTGGACGCCTCCCTCCGCGCCTACGGTAACACATTCGTGGGCTCCGCCACAGAGAGAGAGAGAGAGAGACTGAGGGTTGGAAGTTTGGTTGGGTTTGCCTCTCCGTTCGAGCCAATCCCAACTGCTCCACGAGAGAGGTGATTGGTGGGAGGGGCAGCGGAGTATGAAGGCGGAAAACCCAACAACCTCCTGAGCCTCGCCTTGCCAACGCGGGAATCGCGAGCCCGCAGGCGAAGCAGGTGCGGTGGAGGGGGGGAGGGGAAACTCTGCCCCGGATTTACTTCCCCTTCTTCCGCGCCCCCCTTCGCAGTCTATTTCCTTTTCCAACCCATGGGCCCTCCCCCTCTCTCTCCTCTCTCTCTCTAACCTGGTCCCGCACTACCAGTGCACCATTCCCTAAGCCGACTATTCAACTAGAACATATGACGCGATATGGTTGGACCCCGATCCGCCCCCCCTATCTCTCTCTCTCTCTCGCGCTAATAAATGTGTGTCGTCGAGGGGAGAAGGAAGAGGAGGGCTGCGGGCATCTTTCTCTCTCCTCCTTGTGGTGGCTCCAGTCCCTCCGAACACAAGTGCACACATGCGGTGCCAGCCTTCCTCCACGGTGCTCCAACCTGGACGCCGGCGACCGGACTGGGCTCCGTGCCCACACAAGTTCAGACGCCCATTAAAGTACTTCCCCTCAGCTTCGACTGGCCCCTCCCACCCGCGAGCGAAACTATCTTGATGGATTCTGGAGTTTCTGCTCGGACACTTACGTGGGAGGTTAATTTTCTGTTGACTTTTCGAATCAGAACCCCAAACCCCTTCCCCTCCCTCTTTAGAGAGAATAGGAGTCTCTCAACTAACAGTCGCCGCAGTTGAAGACCCACAGGGGAGCAGAAGAATCCTACGCTAACCACGTCCCCAGGCTTTTCCCCCGAAAATCAAACAATCTTTTCGGTCTGACCCACGAGAAGCTGCCCGCGTGGGATGGGAGAAGAGATTACTGCTCGTCCGGGTCAACCCTGTTAACCTCTGAAGAATTCTTGGGTTCCGTATTTTAATTGTGATCGTATTACAACTGGCAACCATGATTGAGTTGCCCGTACCCCGGTCTACATTAAAAGATTAATTCTTTCTTCAACGTGGTACTTCCATAGCTCTCTCTCTCTCTCTCTCTCTCTCTCTCCTTCCCTTTTTATTTCTTTAGAATATGATCCTCGATAAGATAGATATGAAAATCCAGAGCATCTCACATGAAATTCACCTCTCACTGATATTTTCTTTGAACCCCATCATAACATTATGTAAGATGAAGAAAAGCGCGTCCAAATTAAGTGATTAGTTAATTGCCGGGAACTACTAGCCATTTTTCTTGCAGAGGTTTTAATCTCAACCCTCTCTCTCTCTGTGAGACTGTTGAACGATAAAGCTTCGATACGGCTTAACCTGTTGAATAATCTCGCACGTAATCAATCCAACAGATAAATCTGGCCTTGGGAATGCCCCAGGGGCTTGGCTTTGCACCATCTGTTGAACCCTCCCCCAAGGAGAAAATGCCGATGCTTGAGTGGGCACACCCCATCCCCCGGAATCTTAACGACGAGACCCAACTTCTTTCAGAGTAGTAACACGCAATAGGGACACCACGCAACGATTCCACGACGTTCAGGTCAACGCGGTGGATCCGTCCAAGTGACAACCCGGTGGCTGTCCGATCCGAGGCAAGGTCAATGACGAAATAAGGGGCCTGCGTGTACGCCACAGGCGTAGCCCCCGTTGTCTCCGCGATCCGATGGCGGCGGCCCGGGCGCCACCGTGGTTCCTGCATCTGTAGGCATCCGGGTCTATTTTATCTTGTAGTCGCCTCAGCTTCTTCGTCACTCAACAGGGTACTCTGAATTCCCTCCCCCTTCATCGTGGCACGTAAGGCCATGTCCATGTGCTTCAAAAGATTCCGTAAATATGCCCTCATCCCCCGAGAACGACGTCCATATTATATTTATGTTCGTATCTATTTATATAATATACATAGATAGAGAAAGGTCGTGGTGGGGTTTTAGATCTCACGTCCGCGTGTTTCTAAAACTATGCGCTAAGTTTTGCGAATGAAAATAGTCAAACTGTCTTCCTTTTGTGTGTGTGCGTGGAAGTGACATCGAATTCAGATGGCGGCGGAGGGAGAGCAACGCTCTTCCCCCATTTAGTGGGCTTCGGGTCCCAATCCCCGCATTAAGCCCCTACCAGCTGCACCTGTAAAGTTGAGAGAGAGAGAGAGAGAGAGAGAGCATGCTTCACACGTAAGCTTGCTGCTTTTCTGTCTCCTTTTTCTCAGCGATTTGCAGGAGAGTGGAGCTCTCGGAGAAGAGATCAGCTCAGATAGATCACGAAAAACTAAAGCTCCATCCATCAATCCATATATGATGGATACACAGAAGGAAGATCCCATCCACGCCGGCCAAGACCCATCTCCCTGAGCGGAAATCTCAGCGAGATGATCCAATCTTCTCGAACAAGACGCGAAAAAGCCCCCCAAACGACGTAATCTCTGGTGCTTTTGGGCATGCTCAATCCTCGGCGAGATTTTTTCAAGGAAAGAAAAGGGCATGCGAGAGGGAATAATTTAACCAATGAGGGAAGAACCCACTGAGCCGAGCACTCATTTCAACAATAGACGCGGGAAAATGCCCCAACCCTTGTTGTCCCCAGCACCGATGCCCTCCTCGTATGCCCCATTTTCTTTGTCCATCGTACCCAGAAGAGGAAGAGAAAATTGCCTCTACTGATCACGAAACCAACCCCTACGCTCTCCGTCTGCATGATGAGTACTGTAAAGATGGAGCCTTTCTCACGTGGACGAACAGGGCGGGGGGCCACAGTCTGTCGTAGAAGCCAGCAACGTGGCTCCAAGAAATTGGCCTTCGTCCGGCGGGACACAGGGATAGATACAAATCGCAAGGGAATCGTCCGGCGCCCGCATGGTTGGCCGATGGGGGGCGGCGCCGCCCATCCGCCGTCGCCGACGGCGGAAAGGGGAAGCCAATGAAAGGGACTATAAAGATATGATCAATGATAGTGTACGCGGTAATGCATCGACAGGAGGGGGCTCCTCAAACGACTACCTGCGCAGCCGCCAGCCTCGCGATGGGAACCCTGCAGCAGGAGGAGAGGGAGATCGCGTGAGAACTTGCAGATGAAGTGAAGAGAGTGCAGGGCCCCGGGTAGGAGATGGTCGACATTCAGAGGAATGGGGGCGGTGGAGGACCTGAATGGGGAGCACGAAACGTAGTCCAGTCCAGCTTCGGCGAAGAACGCAACGGACGAAGGCTCCCCTCCGTGTTCTCCGCATATTCCCACCTGTTTTCACATCATCATCATCAGCCATCGCCCTGGAGATCTTGCAGAGATAGGAGAACCCACTAGAGATAGAGATTGAGAAAGAATAGAAAGAGAAAGACACAGAATAGATAGAGCGAGAGAGAGAGAGAGAGGTCTAAGAAACTAGGAACCAACCTTCAGGTCAGGTCTGGCGCTGCGACCTTTCTCTGTGGCCAACTTGATGAGTTGACCCACTCCCTTCTGATCCAGAACCTGGTCCGTGAAAAACGTTGGAGCCGTAAGTTTGAGCCCATGGTCTTCGTTTTCCAATGGAAAACTGATCGGCCTGTGTGTGTGTCCTACGGAGTTGGAATTCATAGCTAAAAGGGCAAAGCGTTTCAGCGACCCTGATATATTTTTCACCTAGAAGAGGCTATTTAATGGCCGGCGACTCATTTAAACTCATTTACGAAAGACCATAGAAAGCTGTAGCATGTGTCAGCTGAACTTCATTCTGGGCTGAGGAATCTCCATTTGAAAGTCAACGTGAGGGGCACAGAAACCAATCGATCGACTAACATAATAAATGCAGCATTATATGTAGTCGTCAGGTTACCATGCGGTTATTTCCGATGATATTTACGTAGAAGTATACTAATGGCATCGAGATGAATCCGGAGCGCATGAATTGTGAAACGTATTACTAGTCTTTTCAAGGGCCCGGCATGTAAAGATGGAATTTACCTCAAATGGATCACTCTGGAGGATACCCTTGGATAAATAGATGGGGAGAAACTTGCCCACATCGTCCCTGCTGTATCCAAAGGTCATTTGAGTGAGATCATTGGTACCGAAGGAGAAGAACTCCGCTTGCTCCGCGATCTGTCGAAGAAAATGGGGGCATATTTCAATGAAGGAAAAGCAAAAATGTACTCGACTGCGATGATGGAGAGCACACATTTACGGAAGAAGATCGATGACAGCATGAAATAAGTTTTTCAGATTTTATGCGCTGGCTAAGAGGAGGCCATTCTCTTGACCACATTCACCATATTTTTATTGCATCAGCGAACAAGGGCATCTGTGGTCGTCTGGACCAATTGAGAAGCTATTTTCCCTGCGGTGGAGAGAAACATATGGAGCGGAAGGAGGCGAATCTATGGGAACGGACCCGTTCGTAATGAAGAAGAATAGGAGAAGTTGCACAAGCTTTGTGAATTACCTCGTCTGCTACAAGCGCAGCCCTTGGGATTTCGATCATGGTTCCAACCTTATAACTGATTGAGAAGCCCGCTTCAGAGAATACTTTCTCAGCAGTGCTCCTTATGACATTCATCTGATGCCCTAACTCCTGCCATTAGTGGGTTTCAACAGCCAGGAGGAGCATAAGCAGCCATAAGTAGGTTGAAAACTCACACGAAACTCTGGTAGAGAGAGAAAATGGAGAGTAAAGAGAGAGAGGTAGGATCGGTCCACACATATTCAGAGAGAGCGAGAGCGAGAGAGAGAGAGAGAAAGAAGAGGAATACGGCAAAACATGCCTGCGGTGTCCCAACCAGAGGGACCATTATTTCAGGTAGGACTTTGAAACCCTGGTTGTTCACCGAGATCGCTGCCTCAAAGATGGCACGAACTTGCATTTCGGTTAATTCCGGGTATGATATTCCAAGCCTAAAGAACAAAGTGAGAAATGGAATTACTTTATTGCAAATGTTCCCAAACAGCAGTGGATCACCAATGCTCTGAAACAGGGTTATGAGTATCGGCGTTTGGATGTTTGAAACATATTTTTCCTGGCTTAAACATAATAACGCGTGGAAGGCTCTCTTTATATGCAGATCAGAAAATAATTTAAGAGAAAAATAGATTTCAAGTTGGATTTACTCTTATAGGATAAATCTTGTCGATTGCATTCTAGTTGAAAAGTACTGATCGGAAGACATTCGTCTTTCTCCATGTCCAGGAAGAATATGCTTATTCTAAAGGTAAATCTCATTGATTATGGGCCAGTTTTACAACTACTGAACCCAAGGATCTTACGGTCTTCGCAGAAAAAGTAAGCAGACTGAAGAAAAACCATGATAGGTCAGGCTGAGGTGCTAATGCACGCTGCAATAAGGGTTTCTATCACGTATTATTGAGCTCAGGTTGTCTGCCTTTAATACTGATGGATGCCCATGTAAATTTACTGAATCGAATAGTAGTATTTCCTTTCATCAAAAACATGTGGATTTAATTTGCTAAAAAATGGAGAGCGTACTAAAAAGGTGAAATGTCTTATCTTGAACATAATATGGACAATACCAACAAAATTTAAGAAGATAACGAGGTATCTCATCAGATGAGGGCTCATTGGCAAACGGTTGGTGATTACCGCAAGCTTGTAAGGCTCAAACATGAAACACAAAACTGAAACTTAATAATATAAATAAAATGAATCATGGTGGCAATTCAAACCTGCAACCACGGAAACCAAGCATGGGATTTACTTCAGATAACTTTTCAATTCTAGTGAAAATTTCATCCTCGGTCATGCCTGTGTCTGATGCCAACTGGGTCACAATTTCGTCAATATCACCTTCTGGGAGAAACTCATGAAGTGGAGGGTCTAACAGTCGAATTGTTACTGGAAGACCTGAAAAGTTAAAGAACTATTAAATTTATTGGGGTATAAAATAAAGTTATTTCTGCAACTAGCCCACGAAATAACCCATGAAAGAAACAACACACATATTACTTTGGCATGAATGTTGGTTGGTGTGAACCAACAGAAATTAGAAAATGACTCCACAAGTTGGATATGTATTGATGGGCTACTGCATCGAATAAAAGATGGCAGATTATTAAATAAGAACACAACAACTTATAAAACATACAGTTGTGAGTGATGAACACACTGTAATGTAGCCCACTGAAAACAAATTGCCTCATGACAATGAGTTCGTATGGTAAGACCTCACAGACTAGTTGGCCTACAGTTAAAAAAGGAACAATTTCTACCAGGATGGTGATGAAAATTCTTTACATGATTTTTTCATTAAAGCCATAAATCTTGACAATTTCGAACCAACTCGTATTGCGATTAATCACTTAAAAAAGGAACAATACGAACATGGCTGTGGATAACATTCCGCAGTGATGGAGGGTCTCACTTCAAGAAAGAATGGGAGTGACTCAGGATTTCTATTTCCGAGGGAAGAAACATGTCACAGGAAGTGATTTACATTCATACATACATGCATACACACACACACACACACACACTCGATTCCACAATCTAACCATACAAAATTACCATTCAAATGAACCTCTACAAGTAATAGTCTCCTAGCACAACGAATAAGGAATGGGAATAACTTGAAGAATTTACGCCAACCACAACTTATTCTCAAGCAAGGATGGTGAACGTTCCATCATCTTGGACAGTAAATGAGAATGCTAATGCTTGTATGGCAAATTTGAGCGCGAAAAGTAAGCGTTCAAAAAAGAAAAAAAAAATATGACAGAAAATTGAGAATCGACTTTGTACTTAAGTAAGAGCGCTATATTACCATCCATTGCCCGGAAAATGCCTTCAAAATCAGACTTCTGATAAGGCAAGAGGAGGTCCAATGCCGCTTTCCTTTGTTCAATGGTTGCTGCCATTATCATCTGTCTCACAGCCTTAATCCTTTCATCTGAAGCAAAGAACTGCAACCCGTACATGGTACATCGAAATTAGAGTTCATTAAGCATAAAGTTCTCATGAAGCTCTCTCAAAGTTCTCGTGCAGCTCTTCCGAAATTCTATATGGTTAACAAAAAACTTCAACTAAAAAGTTGGGCGTATCACAAAGTGATCAAACGTTCAGAACTTTCCAGGATAATATATCATCAGTTTCACTACTCTCTATACTATCAATTAACTTTAGATGGAGAACATATCTTCGTCTTTAATTTATTTCCAATATGCAGTGAAAACTAGAAAAAAGCTCTCCAAAGAGAATGAGGCATAGTTTTTTACCATGTGGCCCAAACTACAACAAAAATGGAGAGGTATGATGGCCATCAGCTATTTCATGCTACTCCAAAATGGAAATATTGGACACATCTTTTTATCTTTTCTTTATCTTTTACATTGACAGGCAAGGAAGATATAATTTACCATGTGTTCTGTCCTGCAAAGTCCAATACCCTCAGCTCCATTGTTCCTTGCTGTTAGTGCATCTCCAGGTGTGTCAGCGTTGGCCATGACCTATCAGAAAAACAAGTATGACATCATAAAATATTTACGACAAAAAATAAAGACACGCTATCCATTTTGTGAACAGGTTAAATGATGGTATCTCCTCCTGAAAAGACATAACTCTGTTGTTTTTCAGGACATGTTCCATCATTCCTTCAAGAATACGCCTTTAAGTTTTTCACGGAATGATGAAGTTTGAGAACCACTTAAGCAAATCTTCACGATCGTTTAAAATTTTGGCATATCCAATATTTTCTTGTACATGAGCGAAACGTGATTATTAGATATAATGACGTGAGGGGAGAGCAACTACTAAGAAGAGTTTAATAGGTAGAGAAATTTGTACCTTCATCTTTCTGATCCCATCAACCCAGGTCATGAAGGCCCCTAGGTCACCGCTTAAAGCAGGGGGGGATAGTGGTTGTTTTCCTATTATTACTTCTCCGGTGGACCCATTCAGCGACAACCAGTCACCCTCTTGTATCGTTTGGTCCGCTATAATGACTACCTGCAGAACAAGGATGCAAATGTCCTTCGTATTTATACTCGATTTTCCAAGGGAAAGCAGCACAGGGAGTGATGTCTAAAAAGGATAGCAAAAGTCAACTATCAATAAAATAGGGGAAGAAATTATTTCTTGAAGGCAATCGATATGAAAGACCTTCATACTTCCCGAAATACTAGAAGTGTCCACAATTCACCTTTTCAGCATCATTCACACGAATGTCAGAACATCCTGACACGCAGCATTTTCCCCACCCACGAGCTACAACTGCAGCATGAGACGTCATCCCACCCCTCGCTGTAAGAATTCCGGCAGCTGCATGCATACCACCAACATCCTCTGGGCTAGTCTCCGTCCTCACCTTCAGTACACAGATGACACTCAAGAAAAGTGATTAAATGCTTGAAGCATGTCACAGTTGTCAAGAAATTCAAACGATTTCCAGAGTTAAATAGCAGTATACTGGAAATCTTAAAGAAAGCTACAACCCCCCCCCCCCCCGAGATGAAGCAATGATAATAATGTTTAGAGAGTGTTAAACCTTTAATAACTCACTGCCAAAAAAATATATAAAAACACACGAAAAGAGGTATAACAAGTCAAACAAGATAAACAAGGCCGAGCCAATATGGCATTTCTTCTTGAAATATGACTAGAAATCATAAGATTCAATTCTGAGATATTCAATAAGTAGATAATTAAAGAGACAGAAGTTGAAGCTTCATGTATCAATGTCCAGGGAGGGAGAAATACCAGTATAACATCCTTTCCTTGAGCATGCCACGCTTCGGCATCTTCAGTATTAAAAACAACTTGACCAACTGCAGCTCCAGGCGATGCAGGCAGGCCTGTAGCAATCACTTTGTCTTTGTATGATGAGGGGTCTTCAAACTAAAAAGGCAAAATGAAAAATCTTAGGGGTGAGAAGCGTGAATATACTCATGTGAGACCAGTAATTGAAAGATGGGCAGCATCAAAGAATCATAAAAATATGAAAGTATGAAAGAAAATTTCTGAAATACATAAGTAAGAAAATTAAGGCGAATGATCGGAAAAATAATAACGCAGAAGGCACATTGAATAGGATTTCTGCTAAACTTCTAGAATAATAGGACTAAGAAAAATAGTGAATTAAAAATCGATATAGGCACATTAAATAATGCGGAAGGGACTCAACCAGATATTAGTCTTGAATCTGAAATGTCTAAAGAAAAAGTAAGCTTGTCTATGTTGTCTCTGATTTAATACATGGTCTGGCACGTTTTCCAAGCAGTTGGCTCTGTCCAATCCGGCAAAGTCAAGGGATGGGGCTGATCTCCGGAGGATGAACCATTCACCACAATATGTCAAAGTGGGATAACCCAGATGTGCTCATTATATAGCACATCATATTTAATAAGAAATAAAAATACACTGTAGTCTGAAAATTTCTGTCACCGTTAACTTATTTTTTGTTGAGAGCCACCACAGTGAGTGATGACTGAACAAAAATTAATAGCGCTTTCTATCAATCAGTATATGATTATGCTTTTTCGAGAACCTGAGGATGGAGAAGTTGATCAAGATGCCCTGGTTCCACCATCTTTATAGCAGACGAAATATCAACAAGGCCTTCATTGACCAAATCCACTGCAATCTTCACAGCTCCTTTCCCAGTGCGCTTTCCTGACCGGCATTGCAGCATCCAGAGTCTGTTCTCTTGAACAGTAAATTCAATGTCCTGTCATCATTGACACAGAGGCTTTCAACATGAAAAATACATCATTCAAGACTTGACGTGCATTTTGTGGTCATTTTAGGCAAAAGAAAAAGCATAAAATGCAGCCATATAATAATTTTCCCGCGATAAACAAAAATAATGGACAGACCAAAAAGACGAAGAGTGTTTTCAAGAATCAGGTACACAGACCATCATATCCCTATAATGCTTTTCTAAGATGTTGCAGTTCTCCACAAGCTCTTCATAGGCTCCAGGCATGCACTGCTTCATGGTATCCAGATCCTCTGGTGTTCTGATTCCTGCTACAACATCTTCTCCCTGCAACCGTAATATTTAGATTCGTTGAACATGAAACGGTCATAGAAGATCGAAGCCCACCAATGTCATAAAGAAAGCTTATACAACATGCATGTATGAAGTTCCCAAAGAGAAATAAGCTTGTTATCATAATGGATACACAGTGTCCATAATTAGGATATAAATCAGGCATGACATGAGCACATACTGATTCAGCATGTCTGGGGCTGATTCTAACTAGACTGGAACAAAGGGTTTAAAATGCTCCTCTGTCGTCTTTCAAAACAGAAGACTGTATTTCTGAAAATATTCACTGAATAGTATTTGATTTCGTGCAAATGGCGATGATATGTAGTTGGAAGTCAAGTGCACTCTTGACGTAATCTATGCACATTAAATAGTGAATCCATTCTGACGAACATGCCTCTAATATGTAGTCATTTAAACCTAATAACTGAAAAATCTCTATTTCCCTAAAATAAAATGATGGCAAGAGTAAGACCTGAGCATTGATGAGAAACTCGCCATAGAGCTTTTTCTCTCCTGTGCTTGGGTTCCTTGTGAAGAGAACACCAGTTCCAGAAGTACTTCCCATGTTCCCGAACACCATGCATTGAACATTGACAGCCGTTCCCTTCAATCCTGTTATTTGGTTGATGCTTCTATATTTGATAGCTCTTGGACTATCCCATGAATTGAAAACTGCTAGGACAGCCAAGTATAATTGCTTCCTTGGATCTGCAAAAAGATTGAAAATGTCAAATCCGACCTAGTTTAAGTTCTGACCATCACAGCAGTCCAACAGAAGAAAAAATAAATATAAGTTTCCTCATTACAAAAATGTCATCAGCGAAGAACTAAAGTCTGTATTTCCTCCATAATTTCACAAAAAAGGAAAACTATCTAGGTGATTCCAAAGAACTTGTCAAGTTAGCCTCGACAATAAGTAGCACTTAGAATCCAGGGATGGATGAATAATGACTTAAAGGAGATGCAAGAATTAGAAATAATCACAAAGCGGAGAGTGTTCGAAAGAGATTAAGCAGAAAATGGTTAAGGGTGAGAGGATTGATACTCATTCCTTTTTCCATGCACTCCTTAAAATGGTAGTGAACAAAAAATACACAAGTCACGTTCAAGAATTCATAGCTGTGAGATAGTTTCTAAGAAAATAAAGAGTTGCTTTGACAGCCATTTAACAAATTTTATACCAAGATGCAAAAGAGAAAAACAAATAAATGTGAAGCATCTAAGAATGAAATATGTGCTATGTTAATAATCTCAAAAAAATAAAACTAAGTTAAGGTTGACCATACCTGAGGGGAACTGTTCGCCTTTGGCTTCAATGTATACCTTCTTATACTGAGCCACTAGCTCCTTAAGATCAGCCGCTGTGAGGTTGGTATCCAGGTTCAGCCCTTTTGCGGCCTTTAGTTCTCCTAGCTTCTCTTCGAAGAGTGAGTGTGGGATGCCCATTACCTATACCAACGTAAAATACACATGAAGACAAGCGTATCTCAGTAACAACAAATGGCTCGTGCAGTTATTGCATGACCCTTAGATCCACTGTGAATGTCAAGCACAATGGCTGGATATTATATCGTAAGACCAGTACCGAAGATACCATGTCAAACGACATGAGCGGCATGTACGTTCCGAAGCGATAAAATCAAAAAGTTTCACACTAGTTGTTCCCGATACGAAAAACTTTAACTCAACTGGCACTTTAACATGTGCCTTCTCTGTCCCTTGTTCTGGAGCTGGCATTTTCACTCGCGCTACCCGAAAGGGAAATTCACGGGCAACCGTAGAACCAACAAGCATCCGCCGCGTTTTACTGGGAAGGATCGAACCATGGGAACGAAGGAGTAGGCTGAGGTGGAGAAGATGGAGGGATTGGCTAGGAAGAGACAGGAACAGGAGGAGCCTGTTGAGAAGTCCAAAAATGAGATTCCAAAGAATGTACATTAATTAGAGACTGGTAAAAAGCAAAAGTATGATAAAATAAAAGTACAAATGTCTTCAATGCTTATGTGGAAAAAATCCCAGTGAATCAAAAAAAAATTATTGCGAACCAAAAATTTCTCTTATAATTTCATAGAACGACAAACTTTAATTTTTGTGTCAGCGATTCCACGAAGAGAAAGAAGCCATTGATGGAGATTATGGAGATGGGAAGTAAGCATGAAGAATGGACTCATCCTGCCTCGAAACTGCCGTAACTTGGTCCTATTTTAACATTAAGCGTCGTGAATGATTCCTTTGATAGCATCGATGAGTGAGAATACCAGAAATCTCTGCAAGAGGAACGAAGACGAGGAAAGGGAGTGATTCGCTCATCGCATACCACGTTACCGAACATGTCTAAGAAACGACGGTAGGAATCGTAGGCGAAGCGCTCCCCGCTCCGGGCGGCTAATCCAGCCACCACCTCGTCGTTCAGGCCCAGGTTGAGAACAGTGTCCATCATCCCCGGCATAGAAATCTGCAACGACGATCAGCAGGTGGTTTAATCAGGCATTTTGACCGTCAATCAAACTACGTTTTGCAGCGCAAGGACGGTTGCACCGGCGCATTTGGGGAGTAGCCTGATCGTGGTGAGCATCGTACCGCGGCGCCAGACCGGACAGAGAGGAGGAGGGGGCGGGAGGGGTCCCCAAGTGCCGCTCCCATATCCTGCTCCACGGCGCCGAGGCCGTCGAGAACTTCATCCCAAAGGCCCGATGGCAGCTGATTGCCATTTTCACGATACTCTTCGCAGGCCTCCGTCGATATGGTGAGCCCCGGTGGCACCGACAATCCGATGCTTGCCATCTCCGCCAGGTTCGCCCCCTTCCCGCCCAGCTACAGCGTCCATCGCCACAAGAAATTTGAAAAACTTCAACGTTATCCAGCTACCATCCATTATTCAATGGTAATAATAATGACATTGGCGTTGACTTCAATCCGATGATGATAGGACCATTTCGATTCCTTGTTCAAGAAGAAGCAACTCACCAGAGACTTCATGCCCTTGTGCCCTTCGCTCTTCCCCTTCCCGAAGGTGAACACCCTCTGTGAATAGAGAAGCCATTAATCAGACGATGAATTTAGCAAACTGCATTGACACCAGGAGCGGATTCCGGTGAAATCAGAGAAAGGTCTTCGCCAGATGGCCAGTCATCAGTTTGCAAAGTCGCACTGGAGCAGAGGAAAGAGACAGATGATCAAGGTGGAACAGCATCATCACTGTGAGCAGCTCGCGTAGACGCCTCCCATCTTGACGCGGGCTTCCGGCATCTTTTGTCCATCGAGTACAACTTCTGTGGACGAAGCCAACCGAGTGCCATAGCCAGCTACCACGTGGACCACCTCGGTGGCCAAGAGCGGCCACTGACTTCAGAGCCCCCACGGCTCACACGACTTCAGACCCCTCGTTTTTGTTTTATATTGATTCCATATATTGACTTGCTTCTTCCGATTTGTACCTTTTTGATCGCCGGTGTCGGAGTCGCCACGGCGTTCGGCGGAGTCGGCTGGCGACTCCGACGGTCGTCGAGCAGCTCTCCTCCCTCGCGACCGTAGCCAGCAGCCTTTTTGTTCATCACGACGCGGGTTCCAGCGTTCGGTCTGCGTGCGATGCGGACTGGAGACGAGGCTATCCCATGTCTGAGACTTCCTCCCTTGAGGAGACCTGCGCCGCTACGGAGCCGGCCCCCTGGCAGCAGCCTCCGCACGGAGGCGTCGCCTGTGGCCGCAGCCGGCCGTAGCAACCCGGCCTCCATTGCGGCGGCCATTCCTCTGCGTCTCCCCAGATGATCGAAGACAAGAGAAAACAAGGAAACGAAAGCATTATCCAATGAGAATTTCGGATAGTGATCAGCTAAACAGCAGGACAGCCCATATATCAACTGCGACCGCAGCAGGGACTCGAGGATCATGGCATCATATTAACTGCTGATCAATCACCTGTACGCTCACTCAGAAGATAGTCCCAGAAACAGCAAAAGCGAAGAAAACTCGAAGAATCCAATTCAAGCCTCGGGGACGATCAAATTACTTGAGAAAAGGAACTCGGACAATGGAAATGGGAATAATGAAACGAAAACATCATCCAGTGACAAATTCGGACAGTGATCAGCCAAAACAGCAGAACAGCCGCAGAAATCAACTGCGACCGCATCAGGGACTCGAGGATCACGGCATCACATAAACTGTGAATCAATCACCTGTAAATTCACTCAGATGAAAGTCCCAGAGACACCAATACGAAGAAAACTCGAAGAATGAAGTCCAAGCCTTGTGGACGATCAAATTACGAGACAAAAATAATTCGGGCAATGGAAATGGAGACTCCGCTAACGATCGACACACAGATGGTGAATGAGTCGGAATGATCATACCCGACTCTTCTCTTCTCCGACGGGAAGATCAGATCCCGAGGGTGGGTGGGCGAGCAGCATCTACAGCGGCCCCTCGCAGTTCGTCCTTCTCGTATTTCATGAAGAATCTGCGCCGCGCCCGTTCCTGTGACGACAAACGATACTAAGTGGTGGGCCCATAGCATGATCCTAGGGACGGTGGAAGCCTTGATGAATTGATCCTGGCCGTTCGATGCGTGGGCCACGGTATTTTCTGTGTTCAGTCTCAACGACCACCCCGCCGCCTCAATAAATAAAAAGCGAGGGAAGTCCGCCTGGGGGAGAGATTCAGAGAAAAAAGTGGGCCCCTGTCAAGTGAGGAGCCCACACGTGGCTCCGGTTTCTGACACACGATCTCTTATCCTCTGCCGCGGCGGGAAACGCCCGCCACCGTCATCTCCAACAAACAGCGTGTCAACTGCAGCACTCTTCTTCCACGTTCCACGTGTGAATGGGGTCTTCAGAAGCCCGGGTCCATCAATCCGGCCCAGGCCTTTTTTCTCGGCCCGGGCCCAGACTATTAGAATTATTCTATTCTTTTATTTCTAGAATAAGAATAAGACAGGAGCCGGATATCTCTCTGTGCCTGTACCCATCATCTCTAATAGTTGAGTCCATAAGGAAAAGTTAGGTTCGAGATTTTTTTGATTTTTATTGAAAATGGGTAATTATTTTCTAAATTCCTCTCTCTCTCTCTCTCTCTCCTCTCCATGACTAACCTTTTTCAACTCTGAGGCATTGACCTTACTAATGTTTCGCGGGGAAATTACTTGAAAACGATGAAATATTGTATATTATTATATTTAACGCCGCTAATTAAATAATAAAAGTATTTTATGCCTATTTGTTGGGAGGAATATCTCAGTCAAAAGAGAACCTGTAAACGTCACTCGTTCGGTCTTTGGCTTCTTTCAAGTGGAGGGCATTAAATCAGCCAAGTTTGAAAAGACGGGATCCTCGCACAGAAGGTCCCGTCTCCTGAGACATAAAATACTAGTATTCACCATCCTCGGATTCACCATCATGGGTCTAGAAGGTCAACGGCGCACGTCAGTAATATCATGGACTGCTTCCGCGGCGCTGTATCAGCGGCGAGGCCTCGTCGCCGCCGCCGGCTGGTCTCCCCGTTCTCTCACTGAGGGGCTCTTCTGATTCTCCCCCTCTCCTGGGTTTGGACGAAATCCCTAAATTTATCCGAAACTCGGAGGGGGTCCGAGAAAACCCTAATTAAATTCGGGTCGGTGCGCAATGGCTGGTCGGGCTGTCGGGCCTCTCCAAGTTGGGGTAGCCTACGCCATGCCCGGCGGGGAGAAGGCGAGGAGCTGCGGGTAAAAGGACGAGGACCTTCAATGAAGGGAGACTGCCAAAGTAAGAGGAATTTTGACCTAACACGATTCCAAATGGAAAAACTTCAATCATTTTCATTTCTGGGGGCAAGACAATGCTTTTGGTGAGCCGTGCCCACTGATCATGAAGTTCGAGGAGGGATCTTTTGCCCAGCATCAGATTGATCTGCATCTTATTTATTTAATTATTTTTTTTGGGTTCTGCCTCAATTGATTGATGGATTAGCGGATGGGATTAACCGGAGTGTAGAGGCTGAGCCAGATCAACAGAACCAATTGGATAATAAAGATGGTGGCCTGGCCTCAAAACATCTGCTGTGGACTGTGATATTGATCTTAGTATACCTTTAGTTTTTCACCAGATTCTGACTCAGAGAGTAGCGCCAGCAATTGAGATTATTGATTCTAAGGGGTATCAGAGGGACAGACGAGCAGATAGATATCAGGACAAAGTGTATATCGAACCAATTGAACCTACGCAATCAGTCAGAGATCACAATGCCTGATCCTGTTTCATTTTTCACTGGTTCCAAAGGTTCAAATAGGCTGGGTATAACTTGACACAAGTAGAAGGCAGAGTAAGACGGATGAAGTTCTTCAAGGGTCATGCTGGATGGGGGACAATGAGTTCTCATCACCCGAAAGCTGGTGACAACTGTGGAGATGTAAATGGCTGGTTAGAGAGAGAAAGCTGGGGTTATAGAATCCTGGGAAGGAGGATGCTTTTTTTCGACAACTGAGACTGCAGGACTTCACCAGGAGGCTTAAAATGTTTTTCGACAACACGCCTTTGGAAATTTGGAGGAAATCTTGAAACAATTCACATGTGGAAGGTGAGTGGTCTCCTGGCCGGCCGCCTTGGACGAAAATGGGTCTCATCTGGATTGATGCCCTGCCAAGATAGAGAAATACAGGTTGGTGAGTATTGCCGAGGGACTGTGTTGTTGATACCAGACACAACATCATACAAAAGCATGTACCTTTCTCGCTGGTATGGTGGAGAGATAGCATCGGCGTGTACCTCTACTTCTCACGGTTTGATTACAAAAGGAACAGGGAGGGGGGGGGGGGGGGTTGAGACCAAGATTGGGAAAGAATAAGTTCATGAATATATAAATATCACAAGTTATAGGTACAATACGGAAATATGTACCTTTCTGTTGATGTGTTGGAACAGGTAAGTATCGGCATACACATTTATTGCTCACCATACTTTTTATTACAAAGGTTAAATGAATGGGTGGGAGAGGGGGGGGGGCAGTGGTCGTTGGAACAGAAGCTGGGAAAGAATATGAGATTTAATATATATGAACGCATGAAAAGCTACACAAGTAGGACCGTATCACTGCTGACCTTTGAACACCAGCTAGTCCATGGCCATGTACATGGAAGCTTGGCCTTTTGGAAGCGACTTCATGTCTTTCCTTACCATGCCAATCAAAGAAAGACGTAGGCCAATAGATAGATAAGTGAGGAAAATTTTTTTGCGAGCCACGTCCATGTTCAATATAAAGGCATCATCGTATGGGAAGTTACGGTTCCTCCTTGGTCGAGCGCATCGTTAGATTTGTGTGCAGGCTGATTCGAGTGGTTCGGAAGACATGCTAGTCAGGCTTTGTGTACTCGAGGAGCATGTGGGGCGACCTGTAGATTTTTACGAGTGTCCAGTAGAGGACTTCCTCAACTTCCAGCTCGCCCTCAGCCCTTGCGGCATAAATGTCCTCGCAGATTGCTGTCAACCTACAGAAAAAAAGGTTGATCATGAACATAGCTTGTTCCACAACTCTTCTGAAAGAAGCCAAACTCCAGCGTAAGAAAAAATTTACTACTGCAAATGCTTCTAAAATATGTTAGTGACATTTTAATGTCCGATACCCAATCTTTTTTATTTATTTATGGTTTAACAACTCATTCCTCCCCGATAAGAAACGCATGAGAACAGAGAAGATTCACATCAGGAACATGCATATGGGGCGCTCTGAAGCTTGAATTGAGCTTTCCCTTTCTGTTTAGAGGACAAAAATGTTTACTATTTGCAAACTAACAAAACAAAGTTGTACATCAAGTCATTACCTGTCACAAGATGGAAGATTCTCGTATGGTATTCTCATCCTTAGATCAGCGCATTGGAGTCTAATGAACCGTCCGACTGCGAGCACAAAGGTAAGGTAAAGGCTCCAGATGTTGAACTTGCTGAGAGTTTCACCAAGTATACCCTCTGAAAAAAGAATGCGAACCGATATTAAGGAAAAAGGAATGGTAAAAGAGGACTGCAAGGATATAAGATAGAATTCAACTTATCATATGAAATAATATATTTGAGCACCATCGATCTCTAAAGTCCCTTTAGGTTGGATAGCCCTACACAATACATTTCTCTTTCCATAGTTCACTTTCTTATAATCCATTTGAACCATTTAACGGAATCAAATTTTATGTTGTTAGGGCAACATAAACCCAGATCAGCAGCAGGCGCAGTTCATTTGAGGGTAATCTCGTTATACAATCCTTTGAAACAGCTGGGCATTCAGATATTCAACTGTATATGCACTTTGCAACAGTAATGATCAGTATTCCAGTTAATTCAGGTTATCTTCAACCTAGAGAAACTAAAACGCAAGTAGAATACTGATCATTACAGTTGAAAGTGCCTATCCAGTTGAATATCGTAAAGCCCAATTGTTTGAAGGCATTGTAATGCCAGATTACCCTCTAATGAACCCTGAAGAACTTCGACATAATCCGCATTCAGTGAGTCGCAGCTAGCTATATCAGCTTTTCAATTTAGGATCCAAATCATAACAGTGATTCTCCTCGCCAAAGGTGTTTTTGCGTTTCTTCACACTGTTTGAGTGAATAAACTCTACGGTGGGAGAAATTCTAGAACCAAGAAAGATGTAAAAAAGTAATCTATCATTTTCTATCATAAAAAATAAAAAAACACCAAGGATGCTAGTCAAGGGTATATACGTGGTGGTGTCTCCTCAGAGACAATGATAGCCATTGGACCAGTCAGATCAGTGCATTCTTCCACATCTGGTGCGTGTACATCACGGAAGGACCACCATGAAGGCCTTCCTTTGTTTAGAGAAATATCACCAGCGACAGAATTCCTCTGCAAGCATACCGATTGATAGGGAATTAGAAAGAAATTGTCATAATCGATTTATCACGGTCAACAGGAGCATAAACATTCATCTTATTATTCAAAGGAAACTACAATGTATCACATTACATACTGATTGCTTAAGAACCCGCACTTCACCAGAGCCTGTGACTTGGAAGAACCTGGAATAAATGTCTTCTACTCTGAAACTGTCAGCAGTTCCATTCAGAACATCTTTGACAGAAGAAGAGTTAGTACATTGAGGACCACAAGATGATTCATACTTCACAGTTTCCTTTCCTTTTGGCCTATCCCTCGTCAATACCCATGAAAAGATAAGCTGCATTTTGTGGTCAATCGACCTGATAAATCTATTCTGCACCACAGAAGGAACCAGCCATGAAGAGCTTGCATCTTCTTGGCAGCAGATCAACTGAATATCCCTCATATTGTATGAATCTAATAAATTATCAGGGTCAAGATTGGAATGGATATCTGAATAGTCTATTTTCTCACACATACTTGTCTGATATATAGTCAATCTTCCGCCATCTGTTTTAATTTCAATCTGGACCCTGGCATCCATAATGGGATTTTCAATGTTTGTAGGATTGACATTGCTGTAGATCTGAAACAATAAAATTCTAACCGTAAATATCCAGCATGATGAATCAAACTCGACATATAAAGTCACAGCATAGTATTCTTATCCATCATCACTTGTATCGGAGTTATAAATTGAGGTTTCGAGGACGAACTGTACAGGGTAGAGGATAACTGGGAATACCATTTATAACCGAAAATACCACCTTGTCTGACTGTCAAATTCAACATATTTTGCCAGGAACTAAATTTTCACAAACCCACTTATCCAGTATGTGTATAATTCATAGGATGAACCGTAAATATGAAAATAGAAAAATGATGCTAGAAACATCTTCTAACTGTCGAATTCATCATAGTTAAGGAGAAAACTTGATCCTTATATATCATCAATTCCATTGGGGATACAAAAGTAACCTTCTAGGATGATAGATTGACGTAATAAGCAATATAAAGATTAATAACTCGATGCTGCTACTAGAAATTCATTATAATAAACCATGATACTGTCACATTCAATAGTAGGAGACAGACAAGATGATTTTGACAAATACTGAAAATGATCGAGTCAGAGATCTAATACTTTAGGCCAGCACTACTGTTGACACTTCAACAATGGAAACTATCAAGCATGAGGGCACTACGCACTAACCATATGTTACCCTAGTGAGATCGATCAAATGAATTCACTGCTGCAACGGCCTTGGATTTGATCGTCACATTGCATTATTAATGATTTTTATCACAGGATGTTTGTGTCGGTGTCACGTTCGGCTGAAAAGTATGGACCTCTTGGGATGACTCAGAAAAGGGGCTGAATCTACTATTTTTCACTAGGACTACAATCTCGGTGGCAGAATTAGGCTGCATGCGAGGGGAGCCTAAAAAGTGACTTCCCCGCAGTTGAGATGACACGACAGTAAAGAAAGTGAATGATATTCTGGGGATAAGTTAAAAAAAAAAAGGCAAACTGAGCCGTTTGATGTCAAAATCAGAACTTTGATGTAGCATTATTAAGATGTTTGTATGAAACTTCTAACTTGCTGTCAACACACAGTATATCCATGACTCTGGACCAAGACCTAGGTTGATTGTACATTCCTAGTTCAACGCACTGCTGGAACAATGATGAACCGATATTGCTCGTGACAATGAGTCATCAACTTTCAGTCTACTACTATGAGTAGTTCATTCTCACTGACCAACCATCGGTAACGAAGCCATGGACCATTTCTTTATTGGCAGTGACAATTTGAGCGAGAGATATTGACCAACCTCAAACAGTATATGGAAGGAAGTAAAAAACAATTTAATAATGAAAATATGATAAAATATGAAGACAAACCATGACGAAGTTCCCAATTAAATCTAGAATGATTTACTTACCCACATAGGCGCCCAGATAACACAGATCAGTACGAAGAATAAACATATCCCACTGCAGCATTTGGTCATTACGGTTTGTTTTTGCCCTTGCTGATGGCCTGCTCTGTTCAAAACCGCATCACATTTGACAAGATACAAGCTTGCATTGATATCCTCCAACTAAATATAAATTAAAGAACAGGTTAGAGAAGATACGAATGCATCAAATAAGTTTGTTAAGTGGCGAACAAGCAGCTCACTTATAGCATGCTTTGAATGGATGAAAGAAGCCCATCTTATTATAAAAGGACCAGATTGCGTCAGATAAAATTTATGCCATCTTTCCCTACACAGATGCGCCAGGAACTTAACTCTTCTTGACTTTCCTCACGATAGTTACTGTAATAAAAAGAAGGACATAATCTCGCTGCATATTGTAACACCGTCTTTCATTCGTTCAGGCACTATGAAAAGATAGCTACCCAATTTCAACAAAAACAAAAATATACCCAAAATTCATGTAAACTAACACTTCCAATTATAACATATGCCAAAATACAACTCAAACTTATATAATCTAAGCTTCTCAATTTTCACAAAAGCATGCATTCAACTAAACCGTAGGTTTCATTCTGAGGGGAAAAAATGCATATTTGAAAAAAAGTGTTGAGCATTGTTTTTCAGAAACAACTAACGGTAACAAGATATTGGCAACAAATGATTCATAATCTCACCTTTAGCCAGTCATACATTGTTAAAGATGTCAATGTGCAGGACCAATCGAGTACACATCGAAGCTCATAGAGAAATGGTAGAGCACGATACAGACGAAAACCCAAGTAGTTAACTTGTGTAACCTGACTTGTTAAGAACTGCCTATACAAGGTACTTTTATGGGGAATTCCGTGCTGTATCTGTATGGCCTGTAATGCCAGAGATAATGCCTTTGTGAGATAGATGGCTCGAAGGGCTAATCCTCCCAGATGTTGACGTGGGGGCTTGAGATACCAAGCATACTCTGTGACAGAGTATGTGAATAAGACAATATTGAAAAGATAAAATACAACTTTTACGGTGGCAAATGAGCACAGGTAGATGACACGATCAAGTACAATCAAGAAAAAGAGGGCCTGCAAAGAGGGGAAAACCATAAGAGAAATAAGTTCACAGTGATGTTTATTAATTTTATAAATGTTCACATAAATGTCACACATTTCTGGAACGCAAATTTAAATGCAAAACAATGAATAACTACAGATGAAGCATGGGCATTGTCTCATCAGACGTAGGGTTATCACGTTGAGAAATACGAAAAGAATAACGTATACCATCAAAATAAGTACGAACTCTTTCGGAAATTGATCCTCAAGCTGATAAACTTCAAGAAACTTGCTGTTGTTCTTGATAATAGACTGGTAGAACATAGCCACTAGAAAGAAAACAGCCAAATCAGCACCAAATATATATGCATATAAATCAACATCCCTTTTGCCGCCTCCAATCACAGATACTACAGGATATGGAAACCCTAACTCTTCAAAAATCCCAACAGATTTTGCTTTAAGAATTTCATCTGCAACATCAGCAGCTGGCGTCAATGTCCAGTACCATTCCTTGTCAGAGCATCCCACAGAAGCATGAATAACTTCAAAGACAGCCAGGGCAATATTTTGATTTTCTTGACTTCTTTCAATGCTCTGAATCCGAACTCTGCTGGGGCTGTTGAAGGAATAAGGCTTCTTTTCTCCATAACTTTCTTCATGAACGGAAAGAAGAACCTGGTTTATGCCCGATTCCACTGTCTCCGGTTGGATTCCGTCCTCTGGCCACTTGTTTACATCCATTGAAAGTTGGACAAAATAAGGAGGAGTTTCAGATCCTTTTGTCAGTGATTGCCAGTACCTAGAGAAATTTCTCACTAGTATTTTTGTTCCATTCACTATTGGCAAAAAGATTAGTCTAATCTTGTCTTTCCAGTAAAAGCCCACAGAAACTCCAATATCAGAGAATTTTTTTTTTGAAAATTTCGATTCAGATGCTATACTCCACTCTATCCTTGCAGTTATTGTCCTCTGTAGCAATGTAAATACGTATACCAGAAAGAGAGGTAAGTTGCTCATAACAAATGAAGTCACAGTTTGCTGTTCAGGGAACCCTAGCCTCCGGAGTATAATCAGATTTAGTTTTAATTGACAGTGTTGTATAGCTATCTGATAACAGTATTGAAGTAAGATATAAACCTCAGTATAGACAAGAACGATAAGCCAGAAAAAATAACTAGGGCCAGAGTTTACGCAGAGAGCATATAAGAAAAGAGCTGCAAGGTATAGCATGGACAGAATGCCAAAATTCCAAAGGAAGACTAGAACAAAACAACAGTAACACACAACGTCATTATTGGCTCGTATTTGTGCCCATACGAAACGGCATATTTTCCCAATTTGAAGGCTAGCTGTGGGCGCCATTCCAGTGTCAGAATTCACAGATGATCTATAATCAATGTTCATGTGTCCGGCATGGATCTGACCCTCAACTTCATCATATAGTGCATCATCGGTTGGTGAATCTCCAGATGACTCTGAATCCTCTTGTTCTATATTCAGAAAACTTACTATGTTGGTCACGGCCTGGTTACCGAGGGATTGAACTTGAGAAACACCATCCCCAATTAACTGGACGGCAGAAACTAATGGATTTTCCTTAACCTTGACTTTTTCAACTTTTATGTTCCCATCAGGATCTGCATGGGTGTCTCTTTCCCTATGTTCAGTAATCTCACCATGAGAATCAACTGGAAACATCAGACTGTCCACTGATGACGAGCTTTCACTTTTTTGGCTGATAGGCGAGTGCGGTAACTCGGACGTTTCCTGACGTATGAGATTGTTCTTCTGTATCTCAAGCATACCAAGGCTCAAAGAAGACAGAAATTCTGCACTTTTCTCATCGTTCTGGCTTTGGGAGACTTCAACTTCACCATCATCATTCTTGGCTAAAGAAGAGTGTCTCCTCCGCCGGAGTCCTCTTTCTGAAGAAGTGCCATTAAAGTTGGAAGCAGAATTCATCCTCTGGAGTTTTATTTGCAAATTGAGCATCTCAGCTTTCATTTTTTCTACTTGCAGATTACGTTGACGTTTTAGCTCTTGAGCCTTACGAATATGCTGGAGATGTGCAGTTTTCCAACCAGCCCTTTTTTCTTGTTCCCGCACTATAGACCCGATCTGTTCAGCCTCAAGGTACCTTGAGACATAGTCATATTCTCTGGAGCAAAAGATGTATGACTGAAATGATACTAAGAAGAAAATAATGATTTCAACCAGCGCAGATCGCGATGTGATACGAAACCCATAATCATATTTGTGGAACCCAATTACCTCATATGCACAGCCAACCATCTTACATTCTCCTGATTTATAACCAAGATAGGGAGATTGACAAGCCAGAGAAAGAACTATCACGATAAAGTTATACATGCGCAAATATCTGAAGACTTTATTCTTTCTCTTCAGTATCTCAAGCCTCTTTGTGAAGAAAAACAGTGCAAAGAAAAGATATCCAAAATGTAGAATGTCATATTCAAGAGTCCCAATAATCATAATCAAAGCAAGTACGACATCTAGCAAATGGCAATAAAAGTATACTCTTAGATAATCAAGAATAGTCCACATGCTTTTCGTCTCAAAAGAGAGGTCTCTCCAAATGAAAGAAGATTTACGTTGAGACATCATCTGGTGGTATGTCTGAGATGATAAGAGACCGGCTGAATGATCTGAACGGAGTTTGAAAGAAGAGAATATGAAGACCAAATAGTAGCTTACAAGCATCCGTGTGTCATCAACAACAATACCTGCTTAAAAGACAATAATTACAGAAGTACCCAAGAAAATATGATTACCTTTGATATAAAATAAACAAGTATATGAGATGTAGTTATTAGGAAGGGATGGAAGAGGAGTACCTAGCCAGCACTTTCTGCAGTAATCAAAGTGTTGTTCTGAGCTACTCCAGCAATCATGGCAGTGAATGCTTGTCTCATTATGTGTATGAATCCAAGGTATCAGATCTTTCCACATAGCAAAATACTCAATGACCAGAATGGATGCAAATGAGAAAACGAATATGGGCCACAGCTTACAAATAACTTCTCTCTTCAGAAGAATGCATACTGCAAGTAATGCTACATAAAATACTGAGACAACATTTAGCAAAGCAAAACTGGCAAGAAGTAAAGCAATCATGCTTATCTCGAGGCCCAAAAGTTTGAATATATTCTCCATCCAAAATTTCACGTATATTTTTAATGCAGTCTTTTGCATATCAAGCCTCTCCTTTCTCAAAGCAAGTATCAACTTCTTGTTCCATTTATGACTTTCTTTAAAACTTCCCCATATATAGGCAAATCTGCGTCTTCTTGAGTCTGAGATTCCTGTTTCAGGTGGCTCATGATTAGGTCTTATTTCAGAAAAGGATGGGCATGAATTCTCTCCCTTGCTCTGCTTCACAGATAACAGACTGTATTCTGATGGTGGCATGCTTTCTTCACCTAACTTTGAGTCCTCCGTTCCAGTGTTGTCATGTAAGATGAACAAATGGCATGGCTCTTCCCATTTTCCCTGGTTGACCACCGAGGCCGGCATCATATTCAACCAATGAAAAGTATTGTATTCCAATGTACAAGCCACTATCACCAAAACCTTTGCCCTCAAGCCTGACTCAAGGCCCCAAAAACCATGTTCAAATAACCGAAAACCAATAAATTGCGACAAACCAGAGAAGTGCTGACCAGGTAGCATCTGAGCCTCGTTACCCAACATTTGGAAAAGATACTCAAGTATAAAAAGAATTCCAGTATAAACAAGCAATAATTTGGACGGAATACGTGAAGTTTTTGGTAAAGTAGAGCAGATGACTAGACCCAACAGATACAGGAAGCCAGATGCACTAATAGGAGTCAAAGATGCATAAAACACCGCAATAGATAATATCTTCTCACAATGCCATATCAGAAGTCTTCTAACGAACCCAAAAAATCCACTTTCGGATGCAGTAACATCTATTTTCGCGCTGTCTCTTCTTTGTCTCCTTTCATAACTGTAAAGTTGCATCACTATCAAAACAACCAAAGATTGCCAAATATTTTCTAATAGTGAGGCATTAGGATTGAATCCGAGATCAGAATAAAGATTTAATGCTTTGGACATCCAAGCCTGAAAGGTTGTGGAAATGCTTAGGCAATAGCTGAAGATAAATACAATGGTGGCATAGAGTTTCAACGGAAACCAGAGGCGCCTTTTTGTCTTCTCCACAAGCTGCCTTCCTAATATCCAAAATAGAAGGCAAAATACATACCCAAAAGATATGTAATTTGGAATGACAAGGTATACTGTGAAGAGAATAGTGAGAAATGCCACATATGTTCCATATGAGTGATAGGCAGATAAAAACTTTTCACCAACTTCACTCAGATATGTTGCTACCCATTTTACTGAAGAAAAGAAGATCAAAAGAGATATCAGAACTACACGAATAAAAAAAAATGTATGACAGCAGTAATTGTGAGTTTAAAAATTATATTTGCATTTGAAGAGGAAATATTGTTTGCTTCTTAATGAAATGTCGTCAAATTTGAACTATACCACGTTTAGAATCAGACTCAGCATCTCCTGCTTTAGGTGATGCATAGACCGACAATAATACCGACTTATCTAAACCTGCCTTTAATATGCTGAATCCAAATGGGCGACAAGGAGTGTGCTGTACGATAGCAGAAAATGAGAAAAGCATTTTAGAACCATGGTTCTGGACTGCACAAAAGCAGACAAGTACAGAAATTTCCATGAATTCCATCACAGTGGCATGGTCCCTGAGACCTGCAACATAGAAAACATAATTACGTCAGTTTCAAAACATTTATGATAAATTCTGGAAATACCGTTGAGAAATTTCATAAGACAAAACAAAATAAGCCTAATGACCTACAGTATTCTCCTACAGTATTCATCTCCTACAGTATAACAGAAACGAGGAAGAAAATAGGATCACGGACACTAGTTCTCCTACAGTATTCAGCGGTTCTCAACTCCTTTCATATAAGCCTAATGACCTCCTCAAACAAAGTAATGGTGAATAAATCAGAGGCCCGAAAAGGCCAGGTACATCAGGGATACGGTAATGTGAATAAAATTACAACATTGCGGTGTTAGGCTAAAAAGGAGAAACATAGATCTGAACCGAGAAGATTTAAATCCAAGGCCAAGAACCATTACAAGAACCCATAACCACAAGCACACCCGTTGCTTTCATAATAAGAACAAAGATCTACAATTAAAAAGGAAATAGTCATCCTCCACATGATCACCATAAACATACAATTCAGAGTTACAGATCACATCATTGAAAATATTTTTTTACCTCATTAGCATCCGCAGATCAGATATAATCCGAAGCAAAAAAAGGAGTCCCATTTAAGAAAGGTTTATGATGTCAGGTAATAATACTCAAACAAATTAACTACGAGTTGAAGAATCTGATTTCGCAACATGATTTTAATTCTCTTTCAATTTATGATCATTCTAGCATTCTATTTCAACTGTGAGTCGGCTTCTTAATGAGTTCATACATGGACAACACAAATGAGGCACATACTCCAATACAGAACCGAGAGTCTTGTCACAAAAAGAAATAATAGGGTTTTCCAACGCAAAAGAAATACGGTATTAGTGGCTTGCTGCTTCATATATTTAAGCACATGTGGGACTCATCAGACAACTGAATGATAAAAGATTCCATATATGGCTCCCAAGTAACCACATTCGATTTTTCTCAAGAAAAATCAAGGGTAGGATAAAATGGCTAATTGTAAAGGAATCAGAATCCCAACAAAATAATACCTGACTGTGACAAAATCATCTGAATCAAAGAGCCACATCTCTCCAGCATGTTGGAAATCAGATTAAGCTTAAGGATATAAAGCAGAGTAAAATGTATCTCACAGAAAAGAATAAGGATTTGTCGTATCTTTATGCTAATTGAATGGCTCAACAGATAAACCATAAATAAGATACCTGCAGCCAAAATGTATTCAGGTTGAAAAGAATCAGTTTTATGAAAAAAATAAATTTGATTAAATACAAATGGTAGTCATTCCTTGAGAAGCCAAAGACATCCTTAAACAAAACCACCTCCAATAATAAGCATCGTCAAATCACACCTATATACATAGATAAACATATGTGGATGAACACTCCGTACAGTAAGAGCATCGACATTATGTAGGTTTCTTTAAAATCAAGAAAGCTAAAACTCAAAAGAATGAGGAGAACATAAGCACTTCGGAGGGCAAAGAAAATGTCCGTCAAGTCCAATCCCCACCTGAATACTAGTATATTCGATCAAACTCGCATGTCTCACATGTCTTTAAATCAGGAGAATACTAGTATATATTCGATCAAATCTGATAAACTGGGAATGAACTGCATTAACATCCTTTGTGGATGGACAGATTATCCAAGCTTGGCGTTCTATCAATCTCGATAAGTTAGATGTACCATGGTCAATAGAGTTCCCCAAACTGGAAAGGCTGGTGAAATCAATAGGGTCTGAAGAATCTATTTAAGTGGAAATCAGGTCTTCACTACCAAAAAATGGGAAACTATCCATTCACACACATCCAGTGCATCGATTGACGTGCAAGTTGGGAACAGTGTAGGAAAAGGCTTATGTTGAAGCAAAATATAAAGCTATCAAACTGCTATTTTGGTACATGAATGATAACTTCTTAACTCAACATATTGATTTTTATGATGACAAAGATTACTATTTCTACACTAACTTATGTTGATTTTATGTCTTCATTTTGGATCATTTAGAGTGCCAAATTATCTTAAAAATGAAACTAATATGACAAGGGTTGACTCCAGTAAGTTATAGAGCCAGTCATGTATCTATTATGTACAAAGTTATATGACAGAAGTAACACGGTCAATTCAGGTGTCAACAACCACCAACCAGGCATCAACAGCTCGGTAAGAAAAACTCAAGAAGACAAAAAAAAGAAGGATCAAGCTATCTACAGAAATAAAGTCTTATATATATTTTCAACTACAGGGTGAACTGAAAGCTCTCACGATGTAGTCAAGCTCTTTTCATAAGATTCCTAAGCACTTGCTATACTGGCTTATAAGTTGTTTTCTTCGTTGACCCCTTCAAATTATATGCGACCATAATATGTTGTCCACTGCTTTGACATATCTTTCTCCACTCATTTTCTCTTTGTTTCATTTATGGTTTGTGAAACCTCGCAACATTAATAGCAGGACAAAACTATACAAACAAAACTGAAATTGTGTTTTTTAAGGGCTTATTTGAGCTTCTTCCATTTATATTAGATGTCAGTACACCACAGACCCTGTCATGATTAGTGATTAGATGAGGATGCTCACATGAGAGAAAGTACAAGAGACAACATATTACAGAAAGGTGCATGTTGATGTCATGAAGAACACATGCTACCAATTAAGCATTGTCTTAGGAATTGGAAGTCCAACTCCTTGGAGATTACAACTGATTATCCAACCAGAAGCGAGCAAAGTGATTCATATTCGCTAAAGACAAAAATGACACCTAACTATGTATGATCCTAAAACTTTAAGAAATGCAATGAATCTTAAGGCAAAATTCACCTAGAACTGAGCATGGTGTAAAAAATCGGTCGATTCCAATCCAGACCCGGAAATTGGACTGAGATTTACCGTTCACTTATGAAATAAAGTTTAAAATTTGAAACTTAATTGAGATGAGACTAATTCTCCTAACAAAGAACTGAATACATGTGTATACTTGACAAAAATTACACAGTTGAAAAAAAATCAGTACATTTGACGTAATTAGGGTTTACAGTAACAGGCGTTCAAGTAACATAGTGCGATAACTGCCATATTTGTTCCGTTGGAATTCATACTGCACCAGGGAGTCAGACAATGGCCATCAAATCTGCATGACACATTACTCCAGTCGGATGGAATAGCTGATGTCGTAAAGTTTTCTTTCCCCAAAAATATGTACGCTAAGCACTTAATATGCCCTACAGCAGGGGTCACCTTAATGAGCTGTCAACAACCAGAAGGATTAACTCAGTGCTATTATCTAATCATATAGTATTGGATTCTCATTTACATAATAATTTCACCAAGGAGCCACCATAGGAAGCAATGAAGTTTTGCAGAACGAAGAACCGCATTGGTGAGTTCTAGTTCTTATTGTAGTCCCAATTCTGGCAAAGAGTTTGCTAGATCTGATCCAAGAGAAAAAGGGAATGGAGAGTGAAGACAAAGAAGAAGAAGATGATACTGGAAGGAAAAATATTCCAGTAGTAAAGAGCGTGCAAGAGTCACATGGACTACCTTTTGATTAGATAGCCAAAATCTAAGCGGTCTGCAGATTAAAATTTCTGCACATAAGAAGATTTGGCAGGTAACTCAGGCAGGGAATGGGAAAACTTTTCGGTCTACCCACAACAGACTAATTCCTGTCAAGGTGGACTATTTTCTCTGAGATGTCCTGTAGCCTAGCAATGTTAACCAAATGTTACAGTCAACAAGATGTGTTGGCTCTTCTCCCGTTTCTCTGGTTGTGCTCTTCAGTTCCTGACTTCCACCACCATCTCTAATCTTTAACACCGTGAAGCCATGACTAATGCTTGCATTTAGCTCCCTTTCATTGGTCGTCACCCATCTTTGCACTACTTTTCCGTTTGATAAATCACATTCCCTTCTGACTCTCTATTCTCTCAACCCCTCATTCTAACAATACAAAAAATGAAAACACTTAAGCATCACCTAAGAGCCTAGATATCCCAAGACATTCGGAGATCTTGGATCATGTTGGCGCCTTGATGACTTAGAGCCAGGAATTAACAACTGATCAAGGCTTCTCAAGCATGAAAAAAAACATTTACCCTACTATAATAAGGATATGTCTAATTTTCAGCTTCTCTCCAGGGCATTTAAGTAGTCAGGTCTAAGGAACCAACCTTTTCAAAATGAATGTGGGATTTGGACAAAAGAAATGGAGAAAAATCATACAGATACTTGGCTGCAGGTGGACATAATTTCCTCTGAAGGGTCATCTCTTCATATACATCCAGCTTGAAGAATAAGTGGGTTCTTTAAAGAAACGGATGACAACTTGCATGATGAGAAATAGTATAACCAGGGACTCGGTAGGCCAGATGCAGGTATGCTTGGTAGGAAGTGACGAGAAAAATTGAAGTGTGAGCCTGGAGAAGGTTCATCTTCCCTCCCCTCTTTTCATCTGGGAAGAGAGCCTTTATAACTGACCCTCTATAATCGAAAAAAGTTATAGAAAAGTAGTTGATCATTGGAAAAAATTAATTACGCTAGCTTCAAATTGTAACTTATTAAGAAGTTGACTGTACAGACATTGAATTTGGAAAAATTCAATCGGATCTGACAAATTATCTGGTTTGCCTTGTGCAACATCAACTGAACGATTCTACAAACATGCACCGAGCCACAAGACGGTATCTTTTCGATGTCTGACACACAGGATGAAGATAATCCCACCTTGGCACATCTTTACTTTTTAAAAAATTGGCCCCTTAAGGGAAGGTTCGATTTTCCAGGGTCGAATCATACTAAGTTCTCTCAACCTAAAGATTCTAAACGCTGATGTATTGCTTTTCACTTATTAGCTGGCCTCTTGCAAAGTAAGTAAATCAAGTAAGCATTATCAAAGAACAAAAAAGTATTTTTGATCTTTAACTACCACACTCCCACATAGTTTTCCACAAAATGTTGGATCGTCAAAGAGTGATATATAATCAAAAAATTGTGAAACATCTCATGTCCCAAGAAAGCTGTAAAAAAATTACAAGATTGCGAACTCTAAACAAATTCACCAATTAGTTGCCCTAAGTGTGCTCCATTCACCTTATTCCTCTATTATACAGATTTAGTGCAGATCCTGAATATATGCACAACACTCAAGTTAATAACAGATCCTTCACGTTAAAACAGATAACCCAAATTATTTAGTAACAACATCCAAGGAAATAATTTTATCTTTTGGCCATGGGTATGAAGTCTGTAATGATTATTTGAACAAACACATGAAAGTTTATCTTATTCCAAAGTAAACCAAGAAAAAATAGATGGTCAAATAAAGTAGATTATCAGATCAACATGTGACAACAGAACAAATTCGAAAGATAATTGAAAGTTTTTCAACAGACAGACTGAGTAGACTTCACGTACCATATACAGCATGAATAAAACCAGGTTTCAAAGCAAGAAGAAATATCAGAGTAAGTGTAATGGCACGGGAGATTTTGCGAAGTCCCCAAGCTAATGTAGCTATAATCAATACCTTGACATCTTCTTTCTCTGTATCCAAGGAGACAACAAGGATCACAAACATTCTATTTTGGAATTACAGAAGCAATAGTATCACAAAAATATAAAAATATCTCTGTATGCCTTCATGTGTGTGGAGAATTCTCTTCATCTATTGAAGACAATGGCAACATACCCCATTAAAAGAAAGGAGACCAAAACTGAGAAGCTAGTAGATTCAAGTTAGAGAGTAAAAAAGACTTCAATATTTCAAGAACGAGCAAAAATTAATACATATTCATCTTCTAATCTTTTTTGTATCGTTGTAAACATCACTGGACTGCTTGAATAGTCATTCTCACCTTCAGCAACATTTTCATCAGTTGAGGACTGCCCATCCTCGTACGATGTGTACAAGAAAACAGAATTATTCACAAGGTTACCCATAGCTACCAGAATGCCGAGGCAAAACTGTGCAAGTAAAAAGAACCCTGGAATTGAATAGTGCCAGAAACCAATTGTTTCCCAAATCTCTGTGTCCTGAAATTTTGTAAGGTCTGGTTAAATTAATCAGAAATAACAAAAGATTCTATAAAAAATAGAAATTACCTTTGAGAGTTTCCTGTTGAAGAATGTGAATGCCACATTGAATACATATGTGCAAGCCGCCCAAAAGAGAATGAACACGAGAAGTAATCCATTCAACCGATGCAAGTCAAATAAGGAGGGAAACGCATATAAAATATAACCAACATAGGCTAGCAAACCAAAAGCACATATACTTGCAAAATTGAAGCTCCAAAATGAAAGAGCAAGCAACAACACCTGTCATGTTTACCACTGAAAGTTAGATTATACAGATCATACAGCATTCTTAACCGTAGTTGATTAAACTCGTAAGAAAATTGTTTATCATATCTGATATGGTCACCAACTATCCATAGCTGAAACATACTTAAATATTATATGCGTTAGAGGGGAATTTTTCATTTTATAGGTTTACACTACAAGGTCAATAGGATACTCCTATACCATTTCCTTTTCATTAGGCTAATTTTGAATCACCAGCAAAGTCGTTTCTTCTGTAAAACAAATAAAACTTTTTTTACTGTTAAGTCAGATGGGAAATATGTGCTACAACTTGGGCCTCTGCAGCATAGATTTTCTGTGGCATCCTTCAGCCTAAACTTCATCAGAGAGAAGGCACAACGTAACCATAGCCTTACTGAGATCCACTCTACCTCTCTTCTCTCTTGCTCTCTTCATTGTCTGGAATTTCTGGTAACCTACGATACTGATCTGAATGGCATCGATCATATATTCCTTCTACTTCATCAATACAGTATGGAGTGCTATTTATTGGTTTCAGGTGTATTGAACGACAGACAGAGTTTGACACACCTTCATGCTGCTAGTACGTACTTCATCCTCTACCCCTCCATTTATACCTCGATTATTCGAGATTGCAATCCAAGGGAAAACTTTAAATTCTTATTAAAATAAATATCTTTAGTACATATGCCATTTATGCATATCCGATCATCTACTCAAAATAGACAATGACTAAATTTATTGGGTCGTCCAACTCAAAACCAATTGGCTACGGCTGATACTTCTGTATCGCCCAATACAAAACTATTATTTCCAATAGCACTCTTACAAGCAAGTTCACTTTTAGGGTTCATTACGTCTACAATATCAATGAGGTGCATGCAGCCTAATGATAATCCTCGAGAATTGATCTTGATTGAGATTCTTGCAACTTGAAGAATGAAAGGAGTTGATCTTCACAATCCTCCTCTCCCAAGAAGATGAATCAGTCGCCACTTGTTGGATTAGAGTTTCCGCAATCCCAAAATCTTACATCAATTATCTTGGTTACATGAGTTAATGGGCCAGGCCAATTACATTAGTCTTTAAGTGGATTGGATAATAGTCTAATGGATCCACTGAACATAAGGAATGACAGAGAAGGACGAAGATACAGTGAAAAGAATCAAATAGAAAGGAAAAGCAATCCCAGAGAGTTCAACACCCCCTCCCAAGTTGGGTATTGATGTTTTCCATGCCCAACTTGGACACCATCCTTTGAAATACTGGTCTTATGAGTCCCTTTGTGAATATGTCAGCAACATGTTCTGATGTCCCAACATATATCAGATCTACATCTCCTGTTTTTACTTTTTCTTTGATAAAATGTTGATCAACCTCATCATGTTTAGTCATGTCATGTTGTACAGGATTTCGGGCAATAACTATTACTGACTTGTTGTCACAAAACAATTTCATATGATTTGATTTATTGACTCTCAATTCATCTAGTAGACCTCAAATCCATAAGCCTTCACATATCCCTTGTGCCAATGCCCTGAATTCTGTTTCAGCACTAGATCGTGCTGCTTGTTGCTTCTTGCTTCTCCAAGTCACAAGATTTCCATAAATAAATGTACAATAACCCAATCTTGATCTGCGATCTATAATAGACCCTGAATAATCAGCATCAGTGTAGATTTCAATAGATTGATTCTCTCCTTTTTTGAATAGAATGCCTTGCCCTGTTATTGTCTTTAAATATGCCAACACTCGATATGCTGCCTGCAGGTGTATATCTCCCTTAGATCATTCATATGCTGACTGAGTACATTTACTGCAAATGTTATATCTAGAAATGTATGATTTAGATATATCAACCTCCCAATCAACTGTTGATATGAGCTTTTGTCCACCTGATCAGTCTTTACCTTCTCCCAAACTTAATTTGGGATCAATTGGAGAGTCAGCAGGTTTTACACTCTAATTTTTCAGTCTCTTGAAGTAAATCAAGAATATACTTGTGTTATGAAAGAATATACTTGAATATGTAGCCTCAATTCCCAAAAAATATTTTAATCTTCTTAGATATTTGATATCAAATTCCCTAGATAATTTTGACCAAGGCATTTAATCTCCTCAATATCATCTCTTGCTATGATGATATCATCTACATACACAATTAAGACTGTAACCATGTCTGGGTCGCCACACTTAATAAAGAGAGTGTGATCCCCATTGCTTTGGATTTACCCAATAAATATGCATTTTATAGATCGTGGATCAAGTTTTCCTACTATGCCTTGAGCATGAACATAAAAAATATATCTACATACCCTTGAACAAAGATGAATCTTTACTTTCACATGAGGATAGAATTTGCCCAACAGTTCCATAGGACCTTGATTTTCTAATGTTTTTGTTGGAATCCTATTAATAAGATGAGTACTAGTAAGCACAGCTTCAACCCAATAATGCCTCGGAACTTTTTGTTGAAACAAAAGAGCCCTAGATGTATCCAGTAAGTGTTTAAAGTAAGGGGACAGTCAAATTGAAAGTCTCTAGCATTATCTGATCTAAACCTCTTGACAATAGTTACGAATTGATTATAGATCATTTCACAAAAAGATTTCACCACTTGGGTGGCATCTGATTTTGATTTTAGGAGGTAAACTCAAGTAAACCTGGTACACTCATCAACAAACAAGATGAACCACCTGCATCCAGAGAAGATAGTCATAGGTGCTGGCCCCCAAATATCACTATGTATATAATACAAAGGAGTCAATCTTCACGATCCTACTCTTCCAAGAAGATGAATCAGTCACCACTTCTTGGAGCAGAGTTTCCACAATCCCAAAATCTTACATCAATTATCTTGGTTCCCCGCTTAAGTTCAGGTTACATGAGTTAATGGGCCAGGCCCATTACATTAGTCTATAAGTGGATCCGGTAATAACCTAATGGATCCACTGAACATAGGGAATGACAAAGAAGGACGAAAATATAGTGAAAAGAAACAGATAGGAAGAACAATCCTAGAGAGTTCAACAATAATCACTCAAATAGCATGCAAGAGCCATTAGACTGCCCAACTATTATGTTTACTTTTCATATCAATACGAGACAATTCTAAGAATAAAAACTGCCAGGCTATGAGTACAATGATGTAATTATTTAATGCGATGCAATGCTTTTTAAAAGTTTGAGACCTATATCTGTACACAACAACAATGTTTCGGTATACATCAACAACTGATGACGATAATTATGCATATGGAAAATTTAGTTTCAACGGTTATCCATAAATTTTGTAGAGGATAGCGGCCACTTAAATAGAAATAAGACATAAAAATAAGATCTGCCAGCCTTTTTTGGCAATTTAATGGCCGCCTTTGAAGAAAAATATAGCCTGATCTAATTATAGGTCAGGTCCCCAGTCACCTACTATGAGAAGTTCACATCTGGTTTACAAGTGTCAGCAAAACATAGTCAAACAAGGGACATGCCCTTGCAAGTCCTTCACTCAACACAGATAGATGGGAGAAACTTCTATAATAACGATGATGCCACCAAAGACAAAGGACCTATGCTAAAAGAATCCATGTCTATGATCAACAACAATTGCATCGACAGCATCATAAAACATTTACATCGATCTATATTTTTCTTAGATTAGCAGGATTGGACACAAATGATTTAAATATAGCCTTTTAAACATTTTTCAGGCTAATAAAACCTTTAATTACAGATCTTGCATTAACCTGTTGGTACAAGGGAAGGTTTCCCTAAGGAAAGCATTTTCTAGGACAGCTCTGAAGTAAAAAGATTAGAAAATGAAGTGAGATAAAAATGATATCATAGGCACCCACTGGAAAGCCATAAGTGAAGAAGTTAATACTGAAATTCCGGAACACTGATCTCTGCAGCAAGACATTTGTATGCCTCATCCCAGACCTGAGAGCATTAGAACAACCTCATAAACTAATATATATATATATAGGAAAGAGAAAGTATGTAACAGTGACAAAGTCTACTAATTAAAGTCAAGATTCAATTAAATTGAAAACATTATGTAAATGGATAAACACCATCAATAAATTTCACCAACGTTATGACAGGAAAAAGGGTATTATGCTCAATAAGCTTAAACATATGTGAGATCTTATTACCATCAGACAGCAAAAATTTCCTGGTAGTTATTGATTTCCTAATGAGCCAAGTTTCTACGAAAATATGCAAATATCTACTAACTAAATTAATAATTATTTACTATATTTTAGGATGTACTAAAGATTGAAATCACTCTCTAATGTAACAAAAATGAATCAGAAAATGATTTTGTTACTTGCAACAAGGATAATTATAAAAAAAGCCAGTAAAATAATTCTCTGTGACAGACGGAATAGTAAAATTTGGACAACCTTATCGATGAAGAGTTATTGCTGCTGTCATTCCTGTCATTACTGGCCATCCAAGACAATCTTAACCAAATTGCTTCTTAACCCCACCATTGTATAAATTTTATACCAGCACAAAACAGTGATTTGAATGGTTTAACGTTCTCTGCAAAAACGGCATGGTACAATGGACACTGCCACCTTTGGCGTTGAAATATGTCTGGAGCATTTTATGCTTGAAAAATATGAATACAAAGAATGGAAACGAAAAACAAGGTGAACAAAACTGACAAGGTGAAATTTCTCATAGATGGCACATCTCCAAGTACTTTCAACCTGAAAATCAAACGAAAAGGAAAAAGTGGAAATTCTAGAGATTAACCAAAATATGTTTTCAGGAGGACCAATTCGTGGTTATTATGTTTAAATGGAAGTATTGGTTTCTGTCATTGTTAGCAAGGCTCATTACCCAACTCAGATTCTACCACTTGCATTAAACTGGAAACACAATGAATGTGTTTGGCCAAATTCGTATAGGAGCATTTTATATTCATCTTATAAAGCGCAATCCACAAAGGAGAAAATAAAATTTATATTAATGATATGAAAATAATACAGCCAACTTGGAGGCGTGCAGATCTTATTGACCCTTAAAATCGAATCAGAGGAACTAAAATACCTTCAAACAAAAAAACTTATCAAGGACAACTGGGTCTTGTATCAAAATAAAAATAAAATATGTAAGAACCTGGTTTTAGACTATCTCATGTGTTCTAAGTATATCTACCTGTGTTATATGGTACTTATTCTTAGGGTTAAAATTAATGTAATTAAGACATTGGGCAACAAGTCTCTACGTCAGCTACCTCTGCTAGAAGCAACTTGACAATGAGTAGCAAAAAGATCATACTGGGGATAGGCCAGCAAATCTCAAACATTTAAAATCATCAAGTTGGGATATCTGCCACAAAGATGTTATTGATCTTATTAAGAAACCTATGTGGTATAAGGTTCTTACACTTCAACTTGTCATAAACATTTATAGGGAACTTTTCCTTAGAAATATCATTGCATCATCACCTTCAACAAAAGTATGAATGCGTCAAGAGCTTTGTTTTACTTTAGATTTCCGATCTCCAAATACCATTGGCAACTTTTCAGGTGTAGATACAGATTTTCAACAGATATTCTCAGGCACACTATTCCTAGATACTCAGGGATGAGAAATCAGATATCGTGTGCATCATTGAGATCCATATGCCACCTTTTGCATTAATGTCACCAACCTCGTTTTGAACTTCATGTTACAGCGTAAATATGAATCATGTGAAGACAGTTTTTTTAGGATGCATGAAATTGTTATCTAGGTTAATATATTTAGTACTTGAGATTAGTGTGTGGCTATAACACCACTTGTCTCCTGCATTGAACAAATTCTTGAATGCCTACATCGTACCAGAGTCCACTTGGACAAATCGACTGTTTCTCCCTTGTCTCATCTCCCGCCTGAAAAGATTTTCGTTTTCTTCTCTTGAACTAAACATAAATTAACAACAAATAAGTGGCATCAAATTATTCAAACAGGCTTTATACTGTCATGTATAATAGTTCATTGAAGCCACTCACACTTTGGAAATAAGCTGATACCTTTCCAATTGCGTTTGATCTATGAAGAAATTTTCTACAAAGAAGCACAAAAAGCTGTCTCCAACAAAGAAGAAACTTTTTTCCTTTTTGCAATTCATAAAATGGTCCTACCATGATGGATAACAACAGAATCATACAATCAAGGTTAAAACAAAATCATGTGACTTACGATTATATCTATAACATAAATTAAAAATTCGTAAATGACCTATATTATTGGGATCAATTTTATTTCTAAAAAATATAATATGAAGAGGGATGATGCGTAACCACTATAATTTGTTACCACAACAACAAAACTTACGCATTCTGTTTCATTGCGAATTAGGAAGCCACATGAACTTCGAATGAAATAAAACTAGAGTCATGTTGGAAGCCATTCTTCATAGATGGTGAAAGAAAAGCCTACTCAGGAAATAAGGGCCATGAGATCATACAAACGAAGAATATGAGCTCTGCAGTTTCAATTATCTAATAGAATTGCATAGAAAAAAATAGAACTCTTGACTCTGGGAACCAAAACAAGAAATAAAAGAGAACAGTTACCTGAATTCTCTGACAAAAAATGTATGGTTTAATGGCAAAAGGTGCTCCGCCATACTGCTATCTTGCATTGACATAACAGATTCCATTTCTTCTAGATCAGTTTTGACAGAAGAAAGCTTCATTAATAAAAAAAAATGATATATTAATAAACATAAATAATCAAAGCAACAAGCGTTCTCCAGAAGTTTATAAAGAAAATCAGGCAAAGAAGAATAACACATACTGAACACTACAGAACTGTATTTCAAGTTAACCAGCAAAAACAAACAATCATGATAGAGAAACAAAAGCAGTTGCCAAATTTGCAGAAAATCGTCTAGTTCGGTTATATTGACATTTTACCATTGTCAGCCCCAGGGTGTCAACCCAAAAAACCATCTGTTTTCAAGCTCTATGAAGATTAACTATACCACAAACTCAAATTTAACTGAGACAGTAATCATATCCAAATCACATTCTCCACCACATAAAGAGCATTCTATGCATAAAAAATCGATTTTAAGTTCTAGAGGATTTAGATCTATCATCTTTCAAAATATCACCCTTGTTGCTTTGGATAATTCTACGCCAATAATTATATACCATTGTCAGACCCCGGGGAGTCAACCCTGGTTGATTTAGTCAGACCAGACACTCTCAAGGATATAAAGGTTCTCAGCCAATGCTTTTTACATTACACTTTTGGGAAATAATTATAACTTCTGTAGAGAATTCAAGTCCTATTCAACACATTTTTGCTCAAGTGCTGGCAGATTTTTCTTTTTTCGCCTGGTACAAATAGCCAGCTCATGTATCATATGTGAGCCTTTTGTCGTGCCAAAGAATCATATCAATAAATTGGTCAAGAGCCACTGTTACATAAAGCATAATAATGCAGAAAACAGCCTATTTTGCGGTTGGATCTGAAGCGATTTAGTTTGTTGGATGAGAAACGATTAAGTTCTAAGAAAAAGTTCTTTAGTGATATGTACTGAAGGAGTCATACCATGAAAAAGAAAGCCACAAGAGAAAGACCAGAGGAAATCTCCATCCACTCTGTGGTCATTGATATCTTATTCAAGCCGATGAAATCACCAACTATAGTGATAATCTCTGGAAACTCAACAGGCAGCTGGTAAATATACAGGATGAGAATGTTGAAGCAAGCATACATGAGCAGAGGTCGCCACCACCTTTATGACCACAGGTAAATTGTTATAAACTTCCAGAGTTTCATATCACTGTATTTCACTATCTAACAAATTTACCTTCAACACAAATTTGCCAATTACAAAAACTTTATTTCCTGTTAAGATTGATTATAACAGTTCAAAAATCCTTATCACATGAAGAATGCATTGAAATGGAAAATGATCTCTAAAAATAGATATTCGAAAAAGATATTATTTTACATGAAAAAATTTCAGACATAACAGAACCTGCTTTACACTTGTTATCCGAGTCAACCATGTAGAAACCTAAACAATATACAAATCTTCCCAAATTTGTTGAGAAATGAAGTAATCAGGGCTATTTGGGCAGTTAGACCATCAACCAACTTGGGCCACCTTTCGGCCTACTAAGCATGTATCATTTATAGCACTTGTTGTCGAGATGTACTTACATGTTTACATATATGTCCTTATGTACCTTCATTTCGTGTTACATCAGTGTGTCTAAAACCTTCTAGGGATCTGGTATGAATACTGGATCCCGCTCTCCTTGTAAACAGATTTTTGATCAATAAAGTTTGAGTTCTTCTTCCACGAGTGCTGGGCGCCTATCAGAGCTCCAGACCGTGTGTTATCTCGACTACATGGTATTAGAACCATTCTAGGGTTTAAAATTCTATTTTTCAGCACCGTCACAATTGACACTGCTTTGTCGGCATTCTCTCCATCGTCTGCTGGAGTTACAAGCGCCGTACACTTCCGACAAGGGATCTTCTCCTTAGCTGTGTTTCTTTCAGAGTGAATCCAGGTGTGATTGCTCCATTTCTTCGTTTCCACACTGATCTACTGTTCTGTTACAGTTCTTGCACCGTTTTTCCTTGTCTCTATTGAGATTTATTCACGAATCTGATTTTTTCGTGATTTTGGACATCCTCTTTAAAGAGAGAATGTGGGAGACAATTCTTCATCATCTGTGGGGGATCCAACCTCCACAAGGGAAGTTAATCTTGGTCCAAGTGTTCCAAGATTACTCATAGAACTTCCTGTCATGCCTACAGAGTTCAAACTGACTGGATACAATTTGATTCAATGGTCAGAATATGTTCGAGAGATATTGACTGGAAGAGGGATGTTACATCATCTGATTGAGGGGAAACCAGATACAATGTCTCGAGAATTTCATAGATAGAGAGAAAAAGATACATTAATCAAAACCTAGCTTTGAGAAACAACGATTCCTCAAATTAGCCGAGATTTTTTCTTTCTATCTATAGTCAAAGATATGTGGGAAACAGTTCACACGAAATTCTCACAGAGAAATAACGAGGCACATTTATATGAACTTGAGAAAAAATTCATGTCCACAATTCAAGGAAATAAATCTGTGATGCAATATATAAGAGAATTGAAAATTTTATGATAGGAAATCAATTATTATCTCAGCATCGATACAGAAAAACCTGCAAAAATTGTTGTCCTATAACATTTTATAGAACGAAGAAGAGTGTTTAAAATTTTGGCTGAACTTAATTCCATTTTTGATCAAGTCAAATTTTGAGTTGTGAAAGGAAATATGATATAGATTAAGCTATTTCCATCATTTTCAATAAGGAAAGTCGTCAAAAATTAATGTTGTCAGTGCCTGAAGTTGACAATACTGCATTTATAATCAAACAGGGAGAAATTATGAAGAAAGCCTCATATCAAGCTAAACAGCCCCAGCATGGCCAAGGAAGAAATTAGAAGACTGATTTTCGTGATAATCTGTGGTGTACATATTGCAGGAAAGCTTGTCACACTAGAGACAGGTGTTATAAATTACATGGTAAACCACAAAATTTTGGCACTAAAAAATGACAGTCAATCACATTTGGCAGTAGGATTATCAACTAGTCATTCTTCAGATTCCCAAATCAATCAACATTCTTCTTCTCCTTAGATTGAGGATATAGAGTGATTTCAAATTGAGCTAGAAAAACTGAAGTCAACAGTGACACAATTCTCATCAATTTAGTCTAGTATGTTTCACCACTCTCTTGGAGTTAGAGTCTCTTTTAGAGATATTTTTAATAATTGGGTAGTGGACTCAAGAGCAACAGATCATATGACCAACTCCCCCAGCCTTTTCACCAAATATAATCCTTGTCTTAGTGACAGAAAAGTGACTACTGCAAACGGATCCTTTCTAACCATCGCAGATATAGGAGACATTAGACTTGAAGCTCTAGGGGTTCTTACTAATGTTCTTCATGTTCCCAAGTTATTTACAAACTTCATTTCAATTAAAAAACTTGTCAGAGACTCACCTTATCATGTCTTTTTTGATGAAGATGTTTGTGTCATATTTGATATGGTACATCATTGGAGGACAAGAGTCGCTAGAGAGCGTGAAGGTCTTTATCTTCTAGAAGGACTGAGCCAAACACATCTAGTGGAAGCAGATCAATCTCTAGAACCTCTAGAAGATGTCCTTAAGATACAATTGATTCACCAACGGATGGGTCATCCATCCTTTAGCACTTTGAAAATAGTTTTTCCTATTTTGTTTCGAAAGGTGTCATTGGACACTCTTAAATGTAATGTGTGTGAACTTTCTAAACACAAGCATACTTCATTTCGATCTCAAGGGGAAAGGAGTGATGTTTCTTTCTTCCTAATTCATAGTGACATTTGGGGACCATGTCTCAAACAAAAATCCAATGTGTGGGATGTTCTGAAATCTTTTTGTGTCATGATAAAAAACTAATTTGACCCTAGTATTAAAAAATTCAGATCTGATAATGCTCAAGAGTATTTTAGCCGAAATCTAAATTATACTTCTGAACAAAGGACATCATACATGAATCCTCATGTGTCTATACCCCACAACAAAATGGTTTAACTGAAAGAAAAAAATCGTCATCTTTTAGAAGTCACTCAATCAATTTTATTTCAACATCATATACCTAAAGTTTTTAGGGAGAGGCTGTTCTAACAGCCACATATCTCATCAACCAATTACCATCTAGAACCTTAGACTTTCTTAGGCCATTAGATTCATTAGCCAAGTTTTTCCCAGACCATCAACTTAAAACTAAGCTAGAACCTAAGACATTTGGTTGTCTCTTTTGTTCATGTTCATAATCAAACAAAAAGCAAATTAGAACCGAGATCACTTAAATCTGTATTTCTTGATTATGCTACCAATCAAAAGGGGTACAAATGTTATCACTCTCCTTCTAATTTTTTTTTTATTTCATTGGATGTTACATTTCATGAATCGAATTCTTATTTTAAAGAATCTCCATCCAGTGATCAATATCTCCACTCATATGGATCAACATGTAGATTCTTCCCTCTCATCTTCAGCTAGTAACCTGTTCATTCTCACTTCAGTCCCTAAAATACTCAATCCTATATTGAGTTCACTTCCTGAAAACCTAAGGTTTGGCAAAGTTTATTCTAGGCAAGGAGAAATTCATTTTGGCCACTGATGCAAAAGTCTCTTGATAATCTATTCCATATACTTGTGGATAACCCTTAGTAGTAATTTTCAGCTGAAATATTCAACAATTTGATGTTAAAAATACATTCTTGCATGGTGATTTGGTTGAAGAAGTCTACATGACTCTTTCACCAGGATATGAGAGTAATCATTCATCTAATCTTGTTTGCAAGTTAAAGAAATCCCTTTATGGCCTCAAACAATCTCCACGTGCATAGTTTGGAAGGTTGACAATAGCCATAAACAAACTAAATTATAATCAAAGTAATGCTGATAACACATTATTTTTTAAACACTCTTTTTCAAGGGGAGTTATAGTGCTATTAGTTTATGTTGATGATATTATCATCACAAGAAATGATGAAGGGGAGATCTAAAACTTGAGCAATTATTTAGCCCAAGAGTTTGATGTCAAGAATTTGGGACAAAAGTATTTTTTAGGAATCGAAGTGGCACATTCTTCTAAAGGCATTTTTATTTCTCAACAAAAGTACATAACAGATTTGTTAGCTGAAACAGGAAAATCTGTATGTAAACCAGCCAATACACCTATTGATCCAAACTAGAAATTAAGTATGGCAAATGAAGAAATTTCTATTAACTGTGAGATGTATCAACATCTCATTGGCCGACTACTTTATCTAACACACACTCAACTAGATATCTTTAGGAATCGAAGTGGCACATTCTTCTAAAGGCATTTTTATTTCTCAACAAAAGTACATAACAGATTTGTTAGCTGAAACAGGAAAATCTGTATGTAAACCAGCCAATACACCTATTGATCCAAACTAGAAATTAAGTATGGCAAATGAAGAAATTTCTATTAACTGTGAGATGTATCAACATCTCATTGGCCGACTACTTTATCTAACACACACTCAACTAGATATCTCATATGCAATGAGTATATTGAATCAATTTATGCATCAACTTAAAGAGTGTCATTTACATGCTGCCTACCAAGTGCTACATTATTTGAAAGGCACACCAAGAAAAGGGGTTCTTTTTAAACAAAGTGAAAAGGTAGAGGTTGAGATGTTTACAGATGCTGATTATGCAGGCTCAACGATTGATCAAAAGTCAATCTTCAATCATATTACTTTTGTTGGTGGCAACCTTGTCACTTGGAGGAGTAAAAAACAGAATGTAGTTGCTCAATCAAGTGCTGGGGCTGAACTTAGGGCACTTACCCAAGGATATGTGAGTTACTTTGGGTCAAGAACTTACTTGACAAGTTACAAATTCCTTTATTCAATCCTATGAAGATTTATTGCGACAATAAGTCAGCAATCAATCTAGAGCACAGCCCAGTACAACATGACCGTACCAGACATGTGGAGATTGATCGCCATTTCATCAAAGAGAAACTTGAGGCCGATGTGATTTGTATATCATACATTTCAACCAATAATCAGTTGGCAGATATGCTTACTAAAGGCATCTCAGGGACACAACTGTAGAAGATTATTCCCAAGCTGGGAATGGATGCCATCTATTCACCAGCTTGAAGGGGAGTGTTGTTGAGATGTACTTAATAACATGTATACCTTACAAGTTTACATATATGTCCTCATGCACCTTTCATTTCGTGTTGCATCAGTGTGTCTAGAACCTTCTAGGGATCTAGTATAAATACTAGATCCTGCTCTCCTTGTAAACAATTTTTTGATCAATAAAGTTTGAGTTCTTCCACAAGTGCTGGGCGCCTATTAGAGGTCCAAATCATGTGTTATCTCAACTACAGCACTACCATAGTGAGCGCCTAATTTCTTAGAGAGCCTTTCTTGCCCCAATTCTCTCCTCTATATCAGCATCAAGGTTTACTAGGTGTTGTTTCATCCACAATACAATCAATGAAACTCTTCAACACTAGACAGTGATTCAGATTGTTCACAAAGCTGGTAAAACCTTTGGGCACAACTTTTCTTTTATCTGATTTTTGCAATTCATGAAACTGGATTTCCTTTAAGTAGATTTTATAAAAAGATAAGAACTGATAATCTGCAGGTAGAATTCGCAAGCATGTGGGTCAATTGGTGATAGAACTTAGATGGCCATCAAGCATTTACCCTGATATGGGACAACAACATGTTAGCATTGCCATTTGCAATCTTCATAAATGTGGTTGTTATTTGAATTATTGCTAGTGGTGACATCAAGCATGTTACTGCTATCTGGACTTCTTGGCAAAAATGGAGTTATTGGCAGTATTAGACCGTTTGACAATGAGTCTAGTAGGTGCATTCCTGAGAAAATCAGACTCATAAGCTCATCGCCAATGGCCTTTTAGTATATTACTATCATCAATAGATCCATTTCCACAAGGTGCCAGTTTCGTTGCAATTTGTCGTTAGGTATATTTCTATTTTTCGTTTAACTTCTTTTAGTCTAAAAGTGTAACATTATGACCTAAACTAGCACCAAAATATTCTGTATAGAGCTGACACTAAGCTGCATTAGGAGGTACATTTATTTTTGCTCCGATTTATCCGTCATTCCTAGAAGCTATGAAACATAAATACATTCTGTTTTTGCAAGAGAATAATTCGGTAGATCTGGAATTAAGACCTTGTTTTCTTATGTTTCAAGTACTACCAAATTTAATCCCGTGTTTGCCACTCATTAACATTTGATATTTATTATTCTTATTTCAAAAAAGTACTTTTTGCAATGGATAAGGATATTCCCAGCTGTTCGTACAACCTGACTAAGCCTCTTTTATTTTATTTCACCTTATAATAGTTTTCTCATTATAAGCTATATTTTTATAGAAGATGTGTAGGTGCTCTCAAGCGATTACTAGCATAATTGTTGATATTATGTAAACGATCAAGTAAAGAGTGATTTCTTTCGCTAGTGTTATGAAGTGTGATCATTAAAATTTCGCTATCTGAACATTGCCTGCAGAAATACAATCAGTTAGCAATTCAGAAATCTATATGCAAGCATAACATCAGCATATGGCACCAAAACCTCATTTAAAAAGAGCGCAAAAACTATTGAAACTAATGCTTACCAGAACAAACCAAGAAAGTTGCTCGTTAAAGACCAGTCAACGAGGCCTACACAACTGCAGATAAAAAAAGGGAGAGAAGCCCAAGAGGGATGGCTGATCCCCACAACAAGCTGAAGAGGAGGCAAGAATAAGCAGCAGGCAACCTTTACATGGGAACCTTCAATAAGACAGTTCGAACAAATCAAAAATTTAAATAAGAAGAACTAAAATCCCCCATACGTAATCCACAATAAAAAAATATATATGTTCTTGTTAATATAAATAGGATGCTCCTCATTCTACCTGACCCAATAAATAACTTTGACTTGGTCAATAATGTACCAAATTAACTTTCAAAGTGGACTACCATATATACTATAAATATGAAAGGAAAATGACAAATGAATTCCATCATTGATAATGCGTCAAGAATTAAGTTGTAGGAGCAACTGTTGCAAATCAATGGAAGATTCTGCAAAGTGCATACGGAGACATAAATGCTCTTAAAAGATACGGAATATCAAATATGACGGTGAGGTAGAAGACTTCATCAATTTCACTGCAAAGGTGAACCGAACTGAACATCGTCAAAGTAATTAATTTTCGTAGTCTAACTGAAAGAAGATTTTTATGTCTTTACTAGATGGATTTATAGTGTCTTCTGAATGGGAAGATCATTGCCCAAGAATGGAAAGCACATGCTGGACCAAATTGGGTCAGGCAACAAGCAAATCTTCTTGAAGACGAATATTAATATAAAAGCAAGTGAACCTTAGGATTTAAAAGGTATTTGATGAGAGATGTGTGAATATTATAAGTAAACAGAGCGAGGATAGGCACAACAACAGAGGGTGAATGAGGCATGGCAAGAAAAATACAAAAAAAAAAAGGAAGGCTGGAGCAAGCATTGCAAGAATTGATCCTATGGGGACGGACAAAGCAATACATGGGAAAGATTACGAATAGATTACCCAGACAGAGAAAGGGACTTGATGCCCTGGAGAAAGCAGGGATCCTTAACAGGGGAAACAAACAGTATAGGGAGCATTTATGGAAATTTTGGGGAGTTACTTCTTAGGGAGGGAGTCTACTGGAACCAAAGATCAAAGGACTGATGGGGGGAGAAGACGAGACAAAATACAGCAGATTTTTAATGAAAAATAAGCGGAAACAAAATAGAGTGTCCGATGAATGGGAAACATGTGATAACCTGGGTACATAAAGAAGCACACAGTGCAGTACTATTCCAAACACTTCACAGAGGAAAATAGACGGGGAACTTCATTACCAGAAGATATAATACCCAAGATACCAAAGGAAAACCATCGAAATATCTAGACTTCTACAGATGAAGAGGTAAGTGATGATACTTTTGCATAAGGAACATCAATTTGGCAGAAGTAATTGGTTTTGAAAATTGGGTGCAGACGACTAAAGTCTGAAGAAAAAAGAGATCATCCAACAGTATTAAAGAAGAAGAACAGTGAGATGTACGACCTAGTATTGCCAATGATGTTTTCAGTGGTGGGACCTGCCACAGGAAAGATGTGGTGATGAAAAGCACAAAGTTATACTTGAAAAATGCCCTAAAAACTATACATCCCATTTTCATTTTAATAGCTACTGAATATGCAGTACTATCCATTTAAAAAGATATATCATATATTATTGACAGTTTCCCAGAAAGATGGTTCTAGCATACAATTTTTGGAGGGTGGCCAATAGACTACAATTCGCTGATTGAAGGCACATATAGATATTTGAACCTCCTTATAGTAATTTCAATGTATAATACAGAACATAGCATTCCAAATGATTTTCCTACAATGAAGAATTTATACATCCAATGGTGGACCACTTCAGAATTTCGAAAGTAGGCACAGCTTCACCGCCCATTTGGTGAAATGAAACAAATTTGGAATATCCCCGTCCAAATATTGTTCAACTAAAATACTCCAAGTTTCTTTCCTTCGAATTCATTTCTGTTGATTCCACCTGTCGCATGGTAGAAAACCCTGCTCTTTTTTTGGTCTTCTGTTCGGTACTTAGTACGTTATAGTTGCTTTTTTAGCATAATAGTGGCATAAACCACCTAACAAAAAACAAGTACAAGACATAGAACCATGTCATTGGGCTGTGACAAAAGTAGTTTTCTACAAGAGAGTTCATCTTCCAACTCATTGCAAATAAGGTACCCTTTCCACTGTTCTGTCATTCTCCCCAGCCTAAATTTGTTATCTAGCCATTTCAGCTCCAACATTAGGTAACCCACACGTTCCTGTAGTTTCATCCATCTGCCCCTTCTTACTGTATCATATTCACTCCTTACAGCCTTTCACATGGCCAGATCAGTTGACTCTGGCTTTAGCTGCACAAATTCAGGAGCCCCAAAGGTTAAACTGCCTACGGTTATCCCTATGATTCACCCCCCCAGCAATAGTCTTCCATCTTATTTCCCATACTAATGATAAGTGTAAACTGACAACTGCAAACCTCCAAATGTGCAGAGCTAACGCCCTACCAGTTCCTTCCTCTTTTGCCGAATTGTCAAAACTCATACACCAGCTCTTACCAATGCCGATTTCATATGAACAAATAGTAATCAATTCTCAAAATTGCTGATTCTTATTTTTCTGACATACACATTACAAGGTACCATTGATCATCATGGCCTTAAATGGCGGGATTCAACCACTTAGAATCTTTATTGGTCACATAAAATCTTGAAACATTAGTGACTCGTACTGCATTGATCTGAACATATATAACAATTTTAGAGTCTTCCATAGACTATAAATTAATGTCAATCCGATGTAGTGTCCCTTTAATCATTTGTCTGCTTCACAACTTTCAATAACTTGCCACCATGAGACCTCAATCGTCCTCAAAGTGATTTCCAGTTTCAAGGGACATTATAAAATCTGTCAAAAAAGGCCTTATTGTGCCCAACTCCTTAAACCAATATGGTTTCTTGTTTTCCCTTCATTCCTTTTTCTTTTTCCCACCTTTAGCCATTTTTCTTCTTCCCTCTCACAGTCCTTTCACTCAATCTACATAAGCCTCAGTCTCTTAACCAGGCAACCATTCCTTGGATGATCACCTGCAAGGCAAAATGCCTTTGTGCTCCCACCATCCTTCGCCAACCATTATCAGCTTATAAGCCATGCATTTAAAGAACATGGGAATGTAGATAAATCTGTTCACAAATAAATAAACATCAACGTAGAAATGAAGGAAAACAATGATTCTGAAGAAAAACGAGTATGGATGTTGAGATGTTTTGCATAATATTCTCTCTTTCTAGTACATCAAAATGTCATAACATGATTTGCTTCGTGTTTTCGTAATTAAAGAATCTGCAACATTAATAAGACAACAATTAAATCAACATATTAGTTATAATGTGTTTTATGCTTGTAAATGTCTATTGTTCATAGAATCAGCAGGAGTGGAATTTAGAATCGTAAAATAAATCCATGCGGCACTAAATACAATTCAAATCATTAGCAACCCAGGAAACCCCAAGTTATGACCAAGTCAAAATGTACAACAAAGATTTGGCATACAAACCTAGCCTCTCCATTGATAAGGAGAGGTTCCTCCAGATAGAACCTTGATGTTGCATAAAAGTCCCACAGATTTCTAAGATGCCAACCAAAGCAATTGCCGATTGCATGATCAAGAAATATATGATGGAACTCGAACCCCATGGTCGAACACTGAAACACTTAAAGGCTTTACATCAATAAAAATAATTCTTATAACTGATTTTAGAAACCACAATGTTAAAAAAATGCATAAAAATCAATTTCGATGAAGAAATTTTCCCTCTCATGCTTGTCCATCCAGAAAGCTCATTTGTGTATAATGTTTTGGATTTTTAACCAGAAGAGCCACAGAGTAGCATTGTCATTGTTAGCCCTCTTCATTTTCAGATTTTTGACACTCCAAGCTGATAACAGATGATCTTTAAATTTTACATCGCGGTGATGGTACAACTAATTTAAAGACAAATGGCTGATACAAAATGGCTTGGATCTTTACAAAATGGCTGATACTAGGAGTCTATTAAGAGTAAAAGGTTCGCAAATATGGCTATTTCCTGGGATCAGAGTTTAGCAAAAAAAGAAAAATATTTAGGCTACAGGGGAACCAACCATCCCCAACCAAGTTCTTATTACTCAGGTAAAGTTGTTATCTTACCTTAAGCTCCCCATAAAATTTCAACGACTTCAGTTTTATCCTTAACAGTTTTTACGACTCATTTTATGTTCAAAGAGGAGATCGTTGAAAACAAAATTTCTCCTTCACCTTTTAAATCTTAAAGGAAGCCCCTAAAGTGTCCAGCACTTTTTGTGACTGCCTTGTCCAAAAAAATTGTTTTCAATCTGCAGAGTATCAATGATTATGAATAGTTATTTCATTTATTATAACAGCATGTTTTCTGCTATATGTTATGAGGACACACACACACAACACATATATGAGAGGAATCAGACACAGAAAGATGAAGAAAGAGAGACAAATACTGTGAGAGATATAGACACTCCAGCCTTACCTCACAAACCCAACAAGGGACGCCCACCAAACAGTTGTTGCAGTAGATATTTCACCCTTCACAAGCCAAATAATGCGAAATATAATATTCGCCAATATTGCAAGGAGAGAGAAGATGATTATGCACCACATCAGCAGAGAATGTCGATGAGGCTGGTAACCTAACATGCAGCAATTAAAATTGCATAAATACATCAATGAAATTTTGATTATGTTATACTGAAATACGAAAGAAGGATGTCAAATAAAAAATTAAAAGGTTCGTGCAAAGAAAAAAGGTGTATCAATAAAAGCAAGATGCGGTTCAAAAGAAAATACAATAGGTTTCTGATTTTCTTTATCCGCACTGAGAAACAAAATCCTCAGAAGCCTGATCAAAAAACTAGGCGATAAATGGGGAGCATATTAGACCAGCAGCTTTGAAGACCTGATGCTGTCAGCATGCCTTTTTTCTGATGGTAGCATAAGCCACTTCTGCATCAATGAAGGGAAATACAACAAAAGAAAACTTCTGGCTATGGACCCCAAAATTACACAGCCAGCACCACGTTCAAAACTAGCAATAGGTACAATGTCTCAATCACCGAGTACCAAAGATTTTCTCTCTGGGAGAACGCTAAGTGGGGAGAATCATCACCATAGAAAACTTGCCTTCCCCAGATTAATCAATGCAAAACAAGATAGGCATCCCTTGATACTGGGTACCATATAGGTTTTTATAAGGAATACCACACACGAGGGGGAGGTGGACAACTTTGAGAGGAGAAAGCCTCCCACGTGGAGGGCAGAGGAAGCTCCGACTACCAGATAAATAGACCTAGGGGTCAACTTTTTCAAAGAGTCGACCCTGTCCGGATAAATATCAGGCAAGGCTGACCTTATTTTTGTTTTCAGGCTGGAACTTGACACCCAATCTAAGAAACACTGAGCTACGTGAATTTCTTTTTGATACTGAGCTATCTGATATAGAAGCACCTTCCGTCATAATCACGAAATCTCAATATTTTTGATCAAATCTTCTGTTATCCCTTTCAATCAGATAACTCGCAGATCTCAGTTGTAGCACCTTTCCACTATTCAGTATCAGAGTGCATATGACAGAGATCGTTCCAATCACACAAAACCATGATGGATGCACAATTGTGAACCGAATTTGAACTAAGTAGAATGGAAAATTCCATACAACACTATAAAAGATAGCTACATGGACTTATTCACTCCATATTAAACTAAACGCATTTGTTTCTTATTTCAGGCGTCAAAGTCTATGATTTATCCCTCATATGAGTCATTATATAGGTCAACTGAAGATTATCATCCTATACCAGCTGCTTCTACCAAGATCTACGCCCATTATCTACAAAAGCAAGTTCTCTTGAAAGTATGAACTACACAACAGTAGGTTGCATAAGCTATTAAAAATCCTCGTTTATCAGCTTGGTCTAACCATTGAAATGTATTCATGCACTTCACTACCAAATTCCTTTTTAATTTTGACCCATTTCCCTCTTAATTTGCTGTAAAACGTGTCGAAGTTGACCAAGTCGGCAATCTAAATTGCTATAATGCTCCTTCTAACCAGTTGACACGCATTAACTTCAGAGACAGCCAGCCCCAACGAATGCTTTATATTTTGACTAGAGATGCGATAAAAGTCTTCAGAAATTTTTCAGCAAAAAAATCCTCTTCGAGTTCTTTTGCTCTCGTTCCCACCCCCCAACCAAACAAAAAATGTCTATAATCACCACGCCTGCTTTGACAAATATGAATGCCCTCAGAAATCCCACTCCAGAAGCATGTCACATGGAGATGAGATTTTTCCATACAATTAGGGTTATGAGGACAAACAATCGCATAGTCCCCATATAATGACACGATTCACTATAGATAAATATAGAAAATTTTGCAGTAAGAATGCAATTCGTCATTCAAAGAATGTTATCAAGACAAGTATTCAATCAACATAATTCCAGCTCACCTAGTCATATTATTTTCAAAAGTCGAGGTCAACAGTCACTTTTCTTTCTGAATTTTAATAAACAAGTGGTACTATTCACTTCCACACAAAAAATGAGGTCAATGTCTTCGGCCACCTTGAACAAATGGACACTGCAAGATAAAGCCAACAAGTAGGTCACTGGCAAAAATGAGAACAAACTGGAAGAATGGAAGGAACACTCTCAGCTATCCAATCAGTCCATGGAGGAGAGACTGTTTGTCAATTATGAGGCTCAGTGAAGAAAATGGTAGTTTGCATCATAGATTGAGGTACAATCAAGACGTTTTGGATGTTGTAGCCATGAGTGTCCACTGTTCATGACTTATAAATCAGTCGTCATAGCAGGGAGTAAAGCAATTTTTCTGGAATTTGATCAACCCCACTATTTTGGAGGTTAGAAAAGTTTTGTGGGAAAGAAACACAACCAAGATCCGAAAGCTTATTCCTTATCCTATTGAAGAGACCACAACCCTCAACCAAGAAGAGAATCAGTACACTAAATGGTAGGCCATATTGGACTCTACACCTAAAGAGAGTATTGTGCACACGAAAATCGAAAATTGGAGGAACTAAGGTTAGATGAGAATTCTGGACTACTTAAATCAATCAAGCATCTGAAACTGCTACATTGATTGGTAAATAGCTCGCCCAGAGTCTTTTTTCTCTTCGTTATGCACCCTGTAAAAAATAATACCTTGAAAGGTTTTTCTTCTCACAGAAAACTGTTCTCCACTTACCACACCATTTCCCCCAATTCCACGCCTGTAAAAAATCTCTTATCAAATGTTTCCTTCACAATATATTGGATTCATCCAATATATTCCAGAAAAAGGAACAGTATGAAATAACAGTTCCTTATCTAATTCATCTTCATCTTATTTAAATTCTCATTGTTTACGCCACTAACAAGTTATATTCATATCCTATGCACAAATATAACTTTCCTACGACACTTAATAATACCTATAAAAGAATAGTCTGACATAAATTCATCGAATAAAACCACCATAACTTATCTAACTCATCTCCATCTTATTTAAATTCTCATTGTTTACGCCACTAACAAGCTATAGTCATATCCTATGCATAAATATAACTTTACTATGACACTAAATAATACCTATAAAAAAAATTCTGACATAAATTGATCAATGAAATCACCATAACTAACAGAACAACAAATATATACATTTATAAATAAATATGTATGTGCGTGCATAAATATGCATAGAGAGAGAGACTTCATAAATATAAAGGCACAATCTCGTTTAGCATTTCCAAGGCAAACCTACGTTCTCTCTTAAATTTCTATAGGACTTTAGATCATAATGTACAACTGCCATACCATTCATATTTAAAACAAGAGAACAAAAATTACAAGGTATTGCTTTCAATGAGAATAAAGCAAATTCAAAATCTATAAATGTTACGACAAAGAGAATTAATTAATATAAAAATTAAAAATTACCTGATGTATAGGAAGGAAAGAACTTACTCTTTTTTGGCGCAAGAACTTGAATGGTGAGAAAAGCAAGCAAATTGATGAAAGAGATCAAACTCCAGTTATGCAGTGAAGCTGAAATTTTTGGATAAAGAGAACACCACAGGATTAGAATTTACATAATCCCAATTTGAAGACGACAGAAAACAACTAACTATTTGAGCTTAGTACTCTGGAGATTGGGAACAGAATGGGCTGGCACCGGAATAGAATAAATTGAAATACAGCTGGTAAGAAAAATAATTTTTGTTGATGATATTATGATACAGAAATTTTAGGCATCTCAGATGCTAAACCCAAGATTCAACTCGAAAACAAAGATCAAGCTCAAATAAGTGTGGAGAAAAAGAATAATATGCGAAGTGAAGGAATTTCTTTGTCTGCCAGTCAACCGTTTAGATGATACCATTGAGACCAAGCCCACAGATGACAGCCAGAAAAAACATGTAAGTGGAAAATAGGAATTAAAAAACTAATTGAAGGTCCTCAGAGTGCATTTGCACAGACAGGCAAAAGAATCAATCATAAATGATACCACATAACTAAATGCCCACTGATGACAACGAAATAGCATTTGAATGGAAAGGAGAACGGTGACAGATTTTTCAGGGTTGAGAATGCACCCCATCTACAACAAATGAACAATCAGCAGCATAAGAATAGTCGTTTACGCGCAGTTATGATCGTTTACCTGCCAATAGCAGAAGAGGCAGCACGAAGCTGCCAAGAAAGCTCCTCATTGGAGACAACCGGCTGCTAACTATTTTCCCTCCAAATTATCCCTCCTTGAGTCCCTTCCGCACCTACATCATGGGAACTCTGCGAGGTATCCTCTGACGCATGAAGGCGAACCACGATCCATCTGCAGAGAACATCCGATTCAGATCAAGGAGCGAAAGGACCAGCAGCAAGGAGAGGTGCAACCTCCAACCTCCCCCCCCCCTCCGTCTTCAAGATTATAAAATCTGACTCTGACGTCGAACGAGACCAAATGCGCTTGAGACTGCTCTCGACGGAAAACTGAGGTTGGCGGCTGATCGCTTTCCGCCGGCAAAATGGAGGCTCCGGTCACTTTCCGACCCTCGGCCCCCTCCTGCTGCGGGAGGCGGGCGCCACAGCAGCACGACGGCACCTTACGATCTCTCTCCCTTTAGCGTCCCTCTCCCGCGCGGTTCCGCCCGGCCTCTCTCACTCTCTCCCCTCGTTGGAAGGCGCGGCACACAGCAAGGACAAGGGCAGGATGGGCCCCCGTATTTTAGGGGGCTCGTCGGAAGGACGCGTCCAGGGCGTTCCAACGGTAATGGGAGTACCCGGTCCCACCACCGTCAAGCTGCTCCCCCCCTGTCCCTCTTTTTTTAATTCTTCATTATTAAACCATTATAAAATTTTAAAATAATAGGTTTCAAAATTCAAATGAATCACATTGTTGACAACTAAACTACCATTTTATGCCAATTATCATCACCCCATTAACCCCTCTACGGTAAAAATTGGTCATTAATACTATTTTGGAATAGTTACAACCATATTCTAACAAAAATGTGATTAATCTACAACAAAGTTTTTTTCAGTCATGACACCAAAAGATCACATTCAAGAACATTTTTTGCGAACATTAAAACTTTTTATGAAAAAGTAAAATTCTATACAATTATTTATCAGTATTTATTTAGATATTTCTAATCAACCATTAAATTTATTTATTACATTAAAATTACTCTACTTCTTTATATTATGAAATTAAAAATAAAAGTAACATAATGCTAGAAGAGTATTTTTGAGTTTATAGATAATTTCAAATATTTCATCATCTTGATTATATTCTTTCATGGAGGTATGCCACAATTATAGTACAGCTCCACATGTACTGAAATAAATTGAAAGACTAGGAGAGAAAATCAGACAATATCATTTTAACTAAGAAAAATCTAGCTGTAAAGTATCATAGGGCCCCCTGGACCAACTCCATGCGGATTATATCCTCCATTTTGGGTCTTTGCTTGTTTTTTTCACTTCACTTGAAGAGTGACGTGTAATTAGGGAAGAATTTACTATTTATGTGAAGGATTTAGGAGATCTTTTTAACTACTTTTAACCTAGTGATGGCAAGCAAATAACACATTTTTAACCAATGCGATTTTAAAGATGTATTTATATTATTAATAAAATAATGTGTTTATTTTTCTAATTTAAAGCTGTTTGTTTTCATTTTTGAAAAAAACTAATTTTTAAGATATTTCAAGAGGACATCTACACCAATACCACTTTGGTTCAAATATAGTGCTCTTCAGAGCAGCTCAGATTGCTGGAGCACAGAGGGCGAATCTCTTGAGAGCAGTAGACGGATTCCTTAACGCACAGAGAGCAACAAGTCAACTCGAAAACCATGATTTTGAATTGAATGAACAGTCTAGTCAACTAACTGGCATCCATTTTCTGTCGATGATGCGGCTGCCGGAATCTTCAACGGCGTCCATTCCACAGCCTTCTTATTCGTGGGCTCACTAGGATGAATGGCTGCCCCCTCTACGGAAGCCACGCGGGCTGGGGGATGGGTGAGAATCTCTGGGCGAGATCGAGTGCCGCCGTGGCGGGGTTCGCCTGCTCCTCCTCCGAGACACGCTCCACCGTCGCTGCCGCCGTTTCCGGCTCCGACGACGAATCCGAGCCCAGATAATACTTGTCCAGAGTCCTTCTCATGTCGTCGATCCCGAACGGCTGCATGCAAAGTAGAGCGCCCCAGATGGCTCGGTAACCCGTCATGGGAACGAGAGAGAGAGAGAGAGAGAGAGAGAGAGAGAGAGAGAGAGAGATACTCCGTCGATGAATTCGGTGGCACCGCTCGCGAAGAAGTGCGCAGTCTCGCCCCTGTGAAGCAGGCTGAGGACGATGATCGGGCAGACCACCTTCGTTTCCTTCCGCAGAAACCACACCACCTACACTTTCGCACATTACGCCGCAGAAGAGCCTGTCAAGAACCGCACGTGGAGAGAGAGCGAGAGAGAGAACGAACAAGAGAGAGAGAGGTTCCAGGTGGCCAGGAGGGAAGATAAAGAGAGTGAAGGTGCAAGGAGGTTACCGCGTCGCCGTCCGTATCTAGGGGGGCACTGCGGACTAAGGCGAGGTCGTAGTCGTAGGGGAGGATCTTGGGCATGCGGCGGTCGTAGACCTCGAATTCATCCACGAGCAGCCGAGGATTCAGCGCCCTCGCTATGTTTGCGAGCCGAGCCTGCGGAGAAAGCAATCAAGGAAGTGTGGGTTGTGCAGGCACCAGAAGAGACCAAGAACAAGGAAGGCAAGAGGGGATGACTCACCCTCCTCGTTTCGCAGCTGTCGACGATCAACACTCTTCCATGAACCAACGGCGAAGCCTCCGCGCGGCTGGAAATGGCCGGGTGGATGAGCGTTACGGCGCCGGGGGAGGGGTTCTTCCAGAACAGGGAGATGGCCGGGGAGGGCGCCGAGCGAACCACGGCGGCGGTGAGGGAGGAACTTGGCCGGTCCGTTGCGGCGGCGCTGGACGGGTCCACCAGGGGCATGGTAGCAGCGCGGGGAGGGGCCGGACTGGCTATGGCGATGGCAACTGGGGAAGAGCCCGGCTGTATCACGGTCAGGACGTCGCGGGCATAGGGAATAGGCGCAGAAGAGGATGGTTGAGAGTTGGCGGCGCCGCTGGAGGAAGCCGCGGCCGTCGTTGAGGCCCCAGGCCGGACGTTGCCGGAGGCGAGTTCTTGGACGGTAACTGACAAGCAGCGCATCAGGGGCCGTAGGAATGCCGGGAACCTTGTTCTTCCCCCGCTGGGGCGGCCATCCCCGGTGGCACCCCCGCCGGCACGCATTTACCCGAGAGAGAGAGACAGAGAGTGGGGGGAGGTCAGGAAAGAGGTAGAGGTCCAGGAAAGAGAGGGGGTGGATTTATACACAGATGGGAATGGAATACTCCATAGCCGCATTTGGTAGTTGAGAATCCAAGACTTCCATTGAAGCTGGAGAGAGAGAGAGAGAGATTCTTCTTTTATAAGATGAGAAACACGGCACTGAAACACAAATTTCTCAGAACAAAACCTCACACAGAAAAAGTTTCAAGGACTTATGTGAGGGCATCAAAATGAGACATTACAATTTCTCACATTTCGCAGAAACTGTTGTAATGAAAACTCAGCAGGCGAGAAGAACCTTGAAGATGGCGAAACGCTTTTGGGTTCAGATTTCCCTCAGATTTTGAGGTGTTTGATGGCCGTCTGGACGTCCTTGTCTCCCCTTCCACTACAGTTGAGGACAACCCTAGCGCCGTCCGCAAGGGTTGGGCAGAGCACCTCCAAGAACGCCAGGGCATGTGACGTCTCCAATGCAGGGATGATGCCTTCCAGTTGAGACAGCCGCTTGAACGCTGCGAGAAACAGGACAGCAGGGTTGCAGAGATTAGAAAACTACAGTAAAAAAGATCCTTCAAAATTTGTTTTAAAATAAATTTCAACTCGGATATCCTGGTTCCACCATGATAAGGTCCACAGCGATCACCATAAGATCATTGATTATTCATCTTTTCTTCTGCTAAATTTCGGAAAATTGAACTCAGATGGGCAAAAGTTACGAAAGAAGGGCATACTACCTTCCAGTGCCTCATGATCTGTAATGCTGTAGTACTCAGCCCGTCTGATATCCTTCAGGAAGCTGTGCTCTGGGCCGACTCCTGGGTAATCCAAACTGCAACCCATTGAGGAAATTTGATGAAGTTAACATCCCGGAAATATAAAGTTGATGATGAAACAAATGGACCATCATGATTGAAATGAAGAAAAAAGAACATACCCAGCACTGATAGAATGAGGTTCAATTATTTGTCCATCATCATCCTGTAACAAGTAACTCATAGCTCCATGCAGAACCCCGACATCGCCTTTGGTTAGAGTGGCAGCATGCTTGCCACTATCTAACCCAAATCCTGCAGCCTCCACACCTATCAACCTCACATGCGGGTCATCCACAAACTCATGGAAGAGACCCATTGCATTTGAGCCACCGCCGACACAGGCAACCAGCACGTCGGGCTTACCACCCCACTTCTCCATTGCTTGCTTTCTGGTCTCCTTTCCAATTACAGCATGGAAATCTCTGACCATCATGGGATATGGGTGAGGGCCTGCAACAGATCCCAAAATATAATGGGTAGTTTCTACATTGGTGACCCAGTCTCGTATGGCTTCAGAGGTGGCGTCCTTCAGTGTTGCTGTGCCAGAATGGACAGCTCGTACCTGCAGAGAACTTGTTACTCAGAGTGACATGGAGAAGATGGAGCAGTAAGCAATGGATAAGAAAAACTGATTTTTTTTTTCTAATCAGAGGATAGTAGACTCATAGATAATGGTGATAAATGCTGCCTATGACAATCCAGATAGAACTAGAATTCTCAGTGTGGAGACTGTCAAAACTGTCAAGATAAAATACAATTCGAGAAATGAGAGCAGTTCAGGTTCATCACGACGGATCTAAATCTCTTAACCAATGAATCAGATTCCCTCCAGGTAACTGGTCTCCTAGTTTTACCTCTGGTTTAATGATGAGGTGCTGTTGATAATGTGTGGCATTTTAATCCAAGAAGATTGTATTATCTGATTTCGCAGCCTATTCTGAGGTATGAAGGTAACCATACATTTTGCACGATTAATCGACACCTATATGATTATTAAACGGGCCATGTTGACAATAAGAGGACTTTCCAAGCATATATGATATTTATAGAACTTATACAAAAATATAGTTATATCGTTATTCTTACATTATATCTCAAGAACTGTTTGACCTTCAGTCAGAGTGCCTGAATGAACCCACCATAAACTACTGTATATTTTTCTGTTGTCCTCCCTTCAGTATTCGTCACCCTTAATTGAGTTAGCCAGAATTTGCCTCAGTAAGAGACTAATCCAGATGAGAAAATGACCGAATACCTATTTGCCTCCCACTCAGAATCCAAGCCTAATCCCATCTTATCTCGAGCAACACTGCCGTTCAACCCTCCTGGCTCAGCCTGGAGGTGGGTGGAAGCACAAATATAACTGGGAGCAGGCATTATATTACCAAAACCCCATAAATGTTAGGTAAGTAGATGCTAATTTGTTCATTTTCTAATAAGGCCAAATGTAAAATAAATGGCCATCAAATACTTTGAGGATATCTGTCATTCTCAACTGGCAACGTAATGGTGGAGGGGGTCTAGTTAATAGAAAGAATAAGATGGTTTGATAGAATCTAGAGAAATTATCAACAATGGAATACATTTATCGGTGATTTCAACAAGTTTCAGACTGAAAACCTTACCTTTTAATGTTAAAAACTTAAAATCTTTGAATGAATCCTAGGCATGCTGGACTAAACAAATCAGCCTTCAGAAGAAATATGTAGGTCCACAACGTCAGACATTAGAGATTGAAGCTCTTGGTTGGAAGAAGTTATGATGACCCCTCTCATTTTACATCATGTTTAGGTTAACATGGAAATTTTTTGGTCCATTTAACAAAAATAATTAAGTACCCCAAAAATGTTTGTTTCATAATAGTCAGAACCCAAAAAATACCATTCACAGAGTTGCAGGCTATGTTTTGGCGTCCAAGGACATTCAACTAGGTAACCTTGCAAATGCAAAAGAGAATCATTATATTTTGAACAACTACCATCAAGGTATGTAAGGACATTATAAATGAGAATCATTATAATATTCTTCCTGAAAAAGTTTCAAATAACTATTCAGACTATATTCGTACATTTTAATATATTGATAAGTGAAAAACACTCTTATCATCAAGGTTCAAACAGTTTTTAGTTGAAGCAACTACCAGGCAATAAATTGAAACATATGCATTATCAACCAGAAACTCCTAAAGACAAGGGAAAAATAAACAAGTACCACCATCAAATGCTTCAATACTGATAGGTGAGGAAAAATCATAATTCCATTCACCATCAAACAGATGGGTGTATCACAACTTACACAAAAGAAATCATTTGCTTGATTCAAAATATATGCACACGGTACAACAGCTGCGCGATTCAAACAGTTGGAATCAAATCCAAATTGATGGAAACAAGGGCTGGATCTGGATCATGATAAGTAAGACGATCAAGATGGCAACTAAGGACCAGACAACGGGGAAGATGTATGACTTCCACTCTGGTCCAGGGGTAGAACGGAGGAAACAAAATAGCCTGGAGCTAGATCGTTTTCAAAGAACAGAACAAATAGGATGGAAAAAGTAGAACTGCTTAAAAAGACCAAGCAATGGTGGTTGAACAATGACCCGAGATCCAGCAAAAACTAGTGATATCATTCTGCGTGTCTATGAATACAGGCCTATGTGCATATGAATAAATAGATAGAACCCACTGCTAAAGGTGGTAATCTTTTAGAAGTTAACAGTAATGACAAACCTCTGCTCCAAGAAGCCTCATTCGGAAAACATTAAGAGATTGCCTCTCCATATCCTGTGCACCCATGTAAATGATGCACTCGAGACCAAGTCTTGCACAAACTGTGGCTGTGGCAACTCCATGTTGGCCTGCTCCTGTCTCAGCTATTATACGCTTCTTTCCTAGACGTTTGGCAAGCAAGGCTTGCGCAATGGCATTATTGATCTTGTGGGCACCAGTGTGGTTGAGGTCCTCCCTTTTAAGGTAAATGAGTGGGCCCTCTCCATTAGGCCTCTTGTAGTGCTCGGACAATCGCTCAGCAAAGTAGAGTGGGGTCTCACGGCCAACATAGTCTTTCAAAATTCCATCGAGTTCTTCCTGCAAAGTAAATAACGAGAATAAGGAAAAAATATATAAAAAGGTGGATTTCATCAAGAATATATATAAAAGGAAGAGTTTCCAACAAAGAACAGATGAACCATGAAACATAGATAGATGCCTTGCACCATTTGTCTTCTTCGAGGCCAAACATCAAGGAATCTGTCCAGGTGCCTCATAGGTCATCATTCCTATGCTTTTAGAAAAGGAAACGGACACCGAATGGTAAAAAGAGTAATGACGGAGTAAATATCAACAATTTTGATCCAGAAAAAAAAGGAAAAAGGCGAATAAAGAACTAGCCATTAATGCTCACTTTCATCATCTGGTGCACAAGGAATTCATGAATCCGCGATTGTACTATTATTTGTCTTTTCTTTTGAAGATAAGTATCAAGGTCCATTCAGTAATTTACTCGCAGACTAAACAGTCATGAAATTTTTGTGAGGTCCCGGCACACATTTTCTGAGGATCATAAGACTTTCGGATCAAATCCACATAAGGCATATTATCCTTTAAGACACCTCAAAACTGACGAGTACCGGACACAATGCCTTCCCCCGCACAGAAAGTGTATCTTAAACCTTTTTCTTTTGAGGAAACAAGCATACGGTGTCCTGAGTTAGAAAAAAATCTTGACGTACAGAAAATAATAAAAAAAATAAAATGCAGAGGTTTCAAAGGGAAGCAGTAATCCATATGAAAACATTTGAGGGAAATCTTCCCAGCGCAGGGGAACTGGAATTTAAAATAGAATAATCTAATATCATGGAGCCAAAAAATCGAACGATTGCAGGTAGTGAAATGTAAAATGGACACAAAATAAACAGAGGAAGAGGCGAAGTTCGTCGCGCTAGCATTTAGCACAATCAGCGGTCAACAAATCCAAGCAATCGAATGATTTTAAAAGAAAGAAAATCAGAGATATTTCACGAAGGTCTCAAAGGAACAATAGAAGAAAAAGGCCGAATTGACCTGAAAGTTTGCGTCCTTGGAGAGGGATCGGAAGGCATCCTCCAGCTCGCTAAGGGCGTGCATCAATGTCTCGGGTACGTATTTCCCCCCGAACTTACCAAACCGCCCGAAGGAATCGGGCCGGGGAAGAGTGATCCCCACTGCGTCCAGCGCCCCCGTTGCCGCAGTATCCATACTAAGCGCGGAGCAGACGGCCAACGGCTTGGGCTGGGACACCCGGGAATCGAGGTGACGCCGGAGAAAACCGACGGAAGAAGGGGTCTTCCTAGAAAAAGGGGAGGACTTGATGGAGGGGCCTTCGGCAGGGACGGCGGCGGCGATGGCGCTCCGGCGAATAACCGCGGCTGACTCCATTCCTCTTCCCGCTTCCCCTCTCTGGAAGGCAAGAAAGCGTTTATCGTTGTTGGCCTTAGCCTGGTATCCTAGCAAACGGTCAGAGTATGAACACCGTCGAGAGAGTGATCCGATCGAGCCGGCCCTAAGCTGACGTGGTACTACAAGCCGTCGACCGTGCCAGTTCTGGTCGTTTCCGGTGGTCGTGGGAAGGGAAAGATCTGCGAAGCTAGCAAACAAACGGAATCGATTCGCCGGAGACGCATGGGGAAATGGATCGATTAGCAGAATCAGTGGTCAAACCCAACGCACACTCGGCGTCCTAATTTCCGTCATATCTGGCGGGTAGAGGGGCACGTGACGGGAGAGACAAAGGAGAAAATCAGAAGAAATAATAAATATACTGCGGAGTGGGTACGGGTCCTGCACTATAAATTTAACGCATGCAGAAGCCGGAAATTTCACCTTGACTTCTATTCTCTCTCTCTCTCTCTCTCTCTTGTTGGGTAGGTGGGAAATGTCTAGTTTAAGGTAGCTTGGATTTAAGGTCTTCATTTTTTAGCTTGACTTCTATGTTGTCCCATATTGGGTTCGGTAGGAGATGTCTGGTTGAAGGCATTCCGGGTCCAGGCATGATTTTTTCATGTTGACTTCTTCTCTAGTTCTCCATTCTCTCCCTCTCTCTACTTGTCACGCTTTGGATTTAACGTCTACCATACTTTTTCGGTTCTTTGATGTGTGATATGAGGATGCAAAAAGTCGCCTTCAAAAATAAAATATGGGACATCGATTGGCATTGCCTTCACGGTTAATTCCTCAATCTGATTTTTTCCTTCTGTAGAAAGATAACAACCATTTATAATCACTAGCGTGGATGAAAATCTACGTCTTTGTCGTTCAAGAGCCATATTTGATCCGGCTTGCGGCCGAAGTAGCCCCCCCACCTCTCTCTCTCTCTCTCTCTTTCTCTCTCTCCACATTTCTTCCCCCAGCCCACAACCTCTGTCTCTCTCATCTCTCTCTCTCTCTCTCTCTCTCTCTAGGAATCATCCCGCGGGCCGTGACTCCCATTCAAGTTGAGATTGGGTCTTGAAGGAAATTGAAGTACTTGCAATTTAATAATGGTGGTGAGTATGACAGCCAAGCATTCAAGGATTTATGTTATGAGCATGGTATTTAGATGGAGAAGACAATTTCAGGCATGCCTCATCAAGATGGTGTTGCTGAAAGAATGAACAAGACCTTGAATGAGCAAGCCAAGAGCATGAGTCATGTTGGATTGCCTAAGATGTTTTGGGCAAATGTAGTGAGCATAGCAGCTCATTTGATAAATAGAGGACCATCTGTTCCTCTTGACCATCAGTTCCTAAAAGAGTGTTGGACCAGAAAAAAGGTAAATCTATCCTATTTGAGAATTTTTGGATGGCTTTCATATGTTCATGTTGATTATGAAACATAAATCTAGAAAATCCAGAAAATGTTTTTTCATTGGATACGGACTTGATGAATTCAGCTATCAATTTTGGGATAATCAAAATCGAAAATTTTCGAGGATCAGAAATATGATATTCAATGAAGGTGTTCTATACAAGAGCAAGTTAGATTTAGAACCAAATTGTGATGAAAAGTATGCAAGTGACATGGATCATATTGAACTTGAAGAAATTTCGGAGGATGATTTACTTGAGAGAGTTGAGAACCACCCTAAAGATGCAAGTACAAAATATGAAGCCCATCCCACTTCATTTTAGCTAAGAAGATCAAACATAATAAAAAGGCTAGTTGAAAGGTATTTTTCCTCCATGCATTATTTATTATTGACTAATGGTGGTGAGCCTGAACCTTATTCAGAGGCAATTAATACTGAAGATTCAGTGAAGTGCGAGTTAGCCATGCAAGATGAGATGAATTCCTTGCAAAAAAATAGATATGGGTGCTAACTCCACTACCAAGTGGGAAGAGAGCTCTTCACAATAAGTGGGTCTTCAAAATCAAAGAAGAACATGATGACTGCATGAGATATACAGCAAGGTTTGTTGTGAAATGATTTCAACAAAAGAAAGATATTGATTTCATCTAAATTTTATCTCATGATGTGAAGTTAACCATGGTAATATTGATGTTTCATATGGTGGCTGCAGAAAATCTTCACTTGGAGTAACTTGATGTCAAGATAACTTTCATTTATGATGATTTAGATGAAGAAATTTACATGGTGCAACTTGAAGGAACTTCTGTTAAAGAAAAGGAAAATCAAGTATGCAAGTTGAAGAAGAGTCTTTATGGGCTGAAGCAAACATCAAGACATTGGCACAAAAGGTTTGATGGAAGTGGCTTCGTGAGATGTCAAATGAACGATTGCTGCTATTTGAAGAAGCTTGAAGGTTGCTTCATCATATTATTACTTTATGTTGATGATATGTTGATTGTAGGAGCTAAAATGCAGAAAATTAATAAGTTAAAAGGGCAGCTAGCAAAAGAATTTGAAATGAAGGACTTGGGGGTAGTAGACTAAATCCTTAGAATAAGGATTACATGAGACAAAATTGCTGATTTTTTGAAGTTATCTCAAGAAAACTACATTGAAAAGGTACTCTATAGATTCAACATGTAGAATGCAAGTCATGTGAGCACATTGCTAGCAAATCACTTCAAGCTTTCTAAGGATCAAACATCAAAGACAACAAAGAAGAAACAAGACAAGGAGAAGATCCTTTATGCTTTAGCCATAGGGAGCTCATGTATACTATGGTTTGCACCAGACCAAGCATACCATATTTAGTGAGAGTAGTGAGCAAATTTATGTCAAATCTAAAGAAGAAGCATTAGATAGTAGTTTAATAGATTCATTGATATCTGGGAGGCACCTCAAGTATGGCTCTTTGTTTTAAAAAGAGTAATCTAAAACTATGACATTTTATAGATTCTGATTTAGGTGGTGATGTGGATATGAGCAGAAGCACCACCAAGTATATCTACACCTTGTGCGGCATAACTGTGAGTTGGATTTGACAACTGTAGAAAATTATGATACTTTCTACTACAAAGGTTGAGTATGTAGCTGTCACTAAGGCTAGTAAGGAAATGATTTGGCTGAAAACTTTCCTTGGTGAGCTAGAGAAGTAGGACAATACTTTACTATTTTCAAACAGCCAAAGTGTCATTCATTTAGCCAAGAATTCCATGTTTCATTCCAGGACAAAGTATATCTAACTGAGGTATCATTTCATTCAAAGCATGTTGGAAGATGAAGCTCTGGAATTAGAGAAGATCAACAGGCTGAAGAACCCAGCATATATGTTGACAAAGGCAACTGTCACTAAGAAGTTGAGGTTGTGTATGCCCTCAATTCATCTTCAAAATTAGCTGATCTGCAGCATCGCATGAGCGCATGAGCACATGAGCTATTTTTATGTCTACTTAAAGATCATTCTTCAAGTGGGAGATTGTTAGAAGATGTGGAGAATTGATCAAGGCTTAGAATAGCAGCAGGTACACAGACCCAGGCCCAAGATGTACAGGATGCACTGATCCACCTAAAGGATCGCAAAAGGGGTATATAAAGGGGGCAAAAGGGGGTCGACGGTATCAATTTTCACATTTGATCATTCGTTTGTCTGCCCGCACTATGCTTGTCTTGCTTGACAGTAGAACAAGGAGAGGAGAGGAGAAAGGAGCTCGCACATTGATCAACGGAGCAACCAATGGTAGAGCAGCAGGCCTTCCTCCTTACTTGTGCTGCGGCTATAGCTATGGCAATGGCTGTTCGGTGGTGCTTGGCTGTGCTTGTGGTGGTGTTCAATGGTGACTAGGCCAGTGTATGTTCTTGTGAGCCAATTGCTCTCCAATAAGATAGTATATTACTTATGCGATTTGGATGTAGGAGGGTTTCTCCAAACCACATAAATCTCTATTTTCCCTCTTCCAGTGTTCCTTTTCTCTCCTGTCTTCCTCCCTCTTCTGCTCTCAAGTGTTTTTTTGTCTATATGAGGAGAGGATGCGGCCAGCACATAGCTGTCGTCCCCAATAAAAATACCACCGTCAAGTGTTGACACGAGTTTAATCCCACATTAATTGTTTCTCGACGTTTGAAACACATATATGTCTATACCTCATTTCTTGTTTAATATGCCTCTCCCAAAAGTATAATAGCTGGCACCTCATAGGGAGAGTATGTAGTCCGATGGTATGCCCCCACATACACATGTGTATGATCACTTCTTACCCCATGCCCAGCTGGCCCTAGGTGATGTGGAAGGGGAGTGATGCACACATGCTTTGCATGAGTCTTAAGCCACTTAAGCCTTAATTGTTGCTCCTTCGACTATGCTTCCAACCCATATGCGACACCCTCTACGTTAGTTTCCAGGTCTTGGCTAGCCAATAGGTCCCCCTTTTTCTCATTTATTCTATTTATTTTATTTTTCTTTATTTTATCTAAAAAATATGAATATAAAATTATATAAAATCACATAATTAATAAAAAATAAGCTAAAAACCTATTTTCACTATTTCATGTAATAAGTGTATATTTATCGTGAGTTAATTTCTAAGAATAATATTTAAATCATTATTAACCAATAATAATAAACACTTATTACATGGCATTGAGACAATAGGTGTTCAAGGCACATAATGCACATGTTAGTTGTTGTTATAGAATATGTCAAGTTTAAAATTTATAAGTTAATTTCACTAAGAAGTATAATTCATAATTGAATGGTGAAAATAGGTTGATCCACAAGGACGAGTGACAAACCAAGTGTCAATTTGATTATCTAAAAGTTGATGTAAGATTTAAAATAATAAAACTAACGAAATAGATAAATAATTTCTGAATTTATGAATTTTAAAAATATGTTTCTATAAAAAAATGAAAGAAAATACTTAAAAATAAGCAGCATTTTACCAAGTCAACGTTTAACTGTAGAAGGAGAGAGAATGCTGGACCTACTAGAATATGTGGTCCAATGAGATAAAAGGGGAAATAAGAGATAGAGGAGATGATTCAAGGAAGAACAAGAGGTGGAAGCTCTTCCACTAGTAATAGCGCTCATAGACAAAATCCTACAAAGGAAGACACCAGATTGAAAACTTCTAAGAGTTTAGATTATATAGACCCAAGTTTGAATTTTAAAAACTCTTGAATCATAATTGATTGAATTTTTAAAATTAAATATAATAATAAAAATAAAAGTCAAACTAAGTTTCTGGTGCTTGGCTTGATCACAATTGAAGTCTACAAACAGTCCAAGAGTGCATGCACAACCTGATCCACCCAATGGAGCTTTTTGCCACTCTAATAAATGCACTTGGTGAATCCCAATGTTTTTCACCCATTGGGAAGAGAAAGAGGATGAAACTAGTTTCTTGTATGTAGTTTGAGAGCTCCCTAGGTCTCTATGACCCTGTGTTAAGGCAAGAAGTGGACCCCTATGAATATACCTATGACCTTGTGTTGAGGCAAGAAATGGACACCTAAGCATTGGCATATAGGAGAGGAACTCACAGCTATTGTCATCACCATGAGCATCATTGCCACAATGCTCAGCTCCTCCTCTACTTGTCACATAGGAGGGGAGCTCACTGCACCATCATCACTGTCAGCATCACTACCGTTGTGCTCAGCTCCTCTACCTGTCATGCTAAAATTGGACGTTTGATCTGTGCACTAGCTCTCCTTGTTCCATTTTGGCTTGGAACTGTCAAGGCTAGAAGTTGCAACATTCCCCACTAGTTTCTAGTTTGATTCCACATTTTTCGTGATTATTTTGATTTTCAACATAAATCCTTCTTAAGATTCCTCAATTCTCCCTAAATCAGGGCTTAGTTTGCATAATTTTGATTTCACAAATATTAGTTATTATTGCAGAAAATTCCGACAAATGTTTGGAAAAATCCCAAAAAATCATAGATGGTAATTATAGTGATGAGAATCAGATGATGAAATATTTTAACTTATAATTAAACAATTAAGATGAAATTTTATGCATGTAAATGACATAAAGTAAAATATAATGAGTCAAAACATATCTTTCCTTAATTAGCCTTATAACCATATAATTTTATATGATTAATACAAAAATTATAAAAATATAACATGAATTAGCACATAAAAATATGGCATTATAAGCACATGACTAGGGAAATAGATTTCTCAATTTATTTTATCAAAAGAAAGAAGGATAAGTCACCTTTTGAGATAATAAGAAAGGAAATAAAGTACTATATGTAAATATCTTGTTGGTAAAATGATTAACTCACATTCCTATAATCATGAATAATTATGTGCCCATGTTATGAAAGCTGAAGTCAAGACCAATGGTATATAAAGATAAGGAAACGTTTATACAATTGTTAGAACTTATGAACTACATGATTCTTCACATACTTATGTTTACATCATAACTGTGATCATATACCATCAAGAAAATAATTAAATTAAACATGAAAGTTGAA